AAATAACACCAGCAGAAGTGTTGTCTCTCCTCTTGGTTGGAACTTAAAACATTTCAAAAGGTTTATGCGTTTTCTTGAAATGATTTGAGCAGCATTCTTCCACACAGTTCTGCAAGGTGAACAAAGGCCTGCGCAAATAAGATCAAAACCAACGCCAGTCATTTCGTCAGGAGCTGATTTTTTTTTTTATTTATTCAAAAATATGAGTTTTACAGTAACTGCAGTTTACGTCTGAAAATGAAAGAGAGAAAAGCAGTTTCAAACTGCTGCAAATATGATGAAGAGCAAAATGTTTTTATATAAGAAAACATTGGAATTGTAGCTCTTCTTTTTTTGGATGAGAACAGGGATAATTGAATCTAACTGGGAAAAAAAAACATTTAATTAATCTTTCTGGTAAGACTTTATTATAAGGTTTTGATCAACCTTTCCTTCACATGTTTAGTGGCTTTGCTCAACACACTACAACACTCATAGGAAATACAGAATCTACATAGATGAGGAGGGTACAAGAAAGCCTGTGTTTAAGTGCACCTTCTAATATCTTATTAGTGGACATTCCAACTTGTACTCAGCTGAATAAAAAAAACACAGTCTTCATAGATAGCCTATCAAAATGTTCTTGTCATCTACATATGGGTGCAAATGGATCAAAAGCCACAGGATTTAGACAGATTCATATATCCCAGTAATGTCAGTTGCATCTGCTTGCAAAATCCCACTGGTTTGTGACATACAGTATTGGAAAATGCCACATTACAGACTCCATGTTGCGCCAAGAAAAGTACAATGTGAGTAAACCAAGAAACATGGTCTGGTAGTAACTTCAGTATTCTTCAAAAAAAGTTAATGGAGTGAAACAGCACATAGTATCTAAAAGGGCCTCCAGCAAATAAGAGAGCATATTAATTTGGGCTACACTAAAGGTTTTTGCCTCCCTCTTTCTCCATTAAGCTCAGGGACCGCTTCAGGTATACCTGAGCATTTCCACCACCTACTCCAGCCTACGTACAAGTAGTAATGTAGAGTGGAGTGGCATTCATCAGCCTAGATGATGTCTGATGATCCTTTTGCAGTGCAGGTCCTCAAAACATACAGGCCGTCTGCTAATTTTCTTTCCTGATATGACTCAGGCCTTCTGAGATAAGGCTGTACTCAGACAAAATTTAGAGGTCCATTTAAAACTGAGAAGAGGAGGCACTTCCTCATGCAAAGGGTTCTGGGAGTATGGAGAATGCTACCCAGCCTGTTGATGGAGCTGATACTCTGGTTTATTTTGAGAAACAACTGGTTCCTTGGATCAATTAGCAACTAACTGCTAAATGGGCTGAATGGCCTTCTCTTTCTAATGCTCTAGATTTCCCTGGGGTGAGAGATTGAACCGTCCAGCACAGTGAATTCAATGTGTTTTCACTTACAGCAGGATTGAGTGTTTCCTTTTCTTTAAATAACTGAGTATGAAGATAGCAAAGGTAGTGCAGATTGTGATACAATACCTATACATATGGCATTAAAAACAGATCAACACATATGCAACAAAAAAAAAACATATCTTGAAGAACATAGGAAGACATTGTGTTGAAAATTAAGAAAAGGACTTTACATACCAGTTTAATACACAATACAATACATATAATACATACCACTTTATGTCTGTAATTCACTTTGATTCAGCTTATAGAGCACACTTCAGCAGCCCAAATGCGTCACTCAGACAAATGATTCAACAAAAAAAAGTGAAGGATAAAAACAGTTTGGCTTGACTGCTAAGATTAGTTTCAACTGGATATAAAAGTATGAAAATAGAAAAAAAAACACAGCAGTAAAATATCAGAACGTTAATACCTTCACGAGTCCTGCTGACCTCAGGAATTAAAGGCAGGCTAATGTTTTAAAATGTACATCCCACTGTTCAGAGTACATTTCATTTACAAACATGGTATTTGTTAGGTGTTTTCTGTCATTTTTTATTTAGCCGTTTTTATTTGTGGTTTAACAGTTTATTCTATTTGAAGAAGTGTGGACCAGAACAGCAGTGGATAAGTCATACTAAATCAGTTATACTTAGACACCTGACCTAAATCTCTGTACTTGGTTGAAATTGTGGATAGTATTATGTGCAATCCCGAAGAATTTGAAGAGAGTGACTATGGCTTGGGAGGCACAGTGGCATGGCAGCTAACACTGCCTCACAATTCCTAGGGTCTAGGTACAATCCCAGATTGTGGCTATTCTGTATGGAGTTTGCATGTGTCCTCAGGTTTTGTGTTTGTTTGCTCTGCTTTCCTCAAACCTGCAGAAGTCAGGCTTACTAACCTAGTTGGTATCACTAAGTTTCCTTGCTTATGTGTGTCCTGTGATGGGCTGGGTGTCCTGTCCAGGGCTTAATCCTGCCTTGTGCTCTGTGCTTCTGGGATGTGCTGTGAGCTGTTGCAAATCTTACTAGGAATTAGCAGCTTTCTGATAGTGGACAAAAATGAATTAGTGAATGATTTAATTAAGAAACAGTCATTCCACCCCTAAACATTACAATTGTGAGAAACCCATAATTATTTTTTGGCATTTTAAATACTTGAAGGATACTTAAATACTTCTAAAATCTTTTAAAGGAAACAATGTGCACTGCACACCAGAACAGCAAACCAGTCAAGTACAGTTATATGGTTTTCCCCCACATCTAACAAGAGGTATTCCAAGTCTCTGCTGTTCATTCCTTCTTTCCAAAAAACTTTTTGAAGACTGATTTGTTCCTTGGTCTAGGCAGACTGGCAAAGTTTCTCTCTCTCTGTATAGTCTCAGGGTTCCAGCTAATAGGCTGTGACTCCTTGTGATTCACTGACTCCATGCTGTTCAAACCGGGAAGGGCTGGGGAGCTCTGGAGTTCTGCCTGCTGATCTCCAATGAACAGAGTCACAGAGTAACTGGACCCTCCCTCCAGCGCTCGAGAGGGCAAAGAGACAGGGGTGATTTTCTGGTAGGTAGCTAGAAGAAAGAAAGCAAACAGGTATAAATATGTGCACTCCGTTTTTAAATCCTTACATTACTATTATTTAAATTATGTTTTTACAAAACAGCTGGAATAATGGGAAGGAGTATATCTGCTCACAAAGTCAATGACGTGGTGATATTAAATGTCGCCTTCAGTTACTAAAAACATTATAGCATGTGTGAATATGAAGTGGAGTGTAAAGCAACAGCAAGAAATTTTTCAAGTGCTGCACTAATTTGAGTATGATTGAGGGGAGGGGTGGATTTATGAATGATGATGGAACTGAAGGATTTCCCGGGGTTGGAAGTGTCTTCAGAAACATGTCTCCTGGTCAGAAGGGCCTCAGTCGGTCCCAGGAACGCAGCGTGTTACCTGAGGTAAAGGAATACGAGCGACGCTTGTTGCTCAGGTAGTCCAGGTGGTCAGAGTGAGGGGAGTCCCCGGACTTTGGGCTGGACTCCCTGCCAGCCCAAGACAGCTTGTCTTTCCCGAGCTGATGCTGGGAGCTGCGGTGATCTTCTGAAAAGGTACAGAAAGGTCAAAATGCTGGGGGCCCCTTGGCAATGAAAACTATGACTAACAAAGTAGGCCGGGAGTGTCTCTCAAGTGTCTGGCCAGAGAAAAGAGTCTGACTGGTGTGTTGTCTCTCTTTGTGCTTCACTGCAGTGAATTTCATGTATGATCAGGAAATATCTTTCTGTTGTGCTACACAGAGAGTGGTTCATTCATGCATTAGATAGTTTACTGGCTTGTACTGTATTGAATCTGGCACTGGGAGATCTGTGAAGAAATAGTTCAGTGTGGTAGGATCATATACATTTGATTACAGCACACAAGGGAGCTCTAACACTCTAACAAGATGCAGGTCCTCTTCTCCTTTTGTGTAGACTAATCTTTTGTTATGAGGTGAGGTGAGCTAAAATCACAAAGCAATAAAATAAATGAACAGACCTATTTACCTGTATAAAGCACCTCTGACGGTGCAACACTGTGGCACAGATTCTTTCTGCTGTGTTTGCAAGCTGCACAAAAGCTCTTTGCAATAATAGTCACAAGATCAAGGACCCTCCTGTACTTGTCTGTCTCATGTTAGAGATGTATACTCTTCATGGAAGTATATATGAATTGATTATACATGTATGTGAGGCATATAATGCAGTGCACAATTACCGCATATTAAATGTTTATGGAAGTTGCTAAAAGACTGAAGTGTCCCTCATTCTCTCCTGCTCTTACCACAGTGATCTGTGTCTGAAGACAAGGCCGGAAGCAGGTCCTCTGAGTTCCCATGGTGCTGCCTAGGAGGCTGGGGGTTGTCTCTCGTCAGAACTATGATCTCTTTAGATCTTGTGGTGGCCGGCTGACCGAGCCCCGAGAAATAGGAAGTGGTGTCGCCCCCTTTTGGACAGTGGCATGTAGGGCTGCAGTGGCAGGTGCTACCTGAACTGTGAAAGGAAGAGGTGTTTCTGTCATTGAAACAGAAGAACTGCGCTAAACATCCAGACCGGTCTGCATCCAACAGCATTTACACTGTACCTTTGCAGCAATGATTTGAATTTCAAGAGTGATTCAGACAAATAATGATGAAGCCACACAGCATAAGAGTATAATTTGTATGATTTTTTTTTGTTTTAAATATTTTTGTATATCAATGTCTGATTGTCCATTCCCGTTTGGGACTTTACTGCCCTCTCATGGACATATGGCAAATCGCAGATATATTTATAATATGATTCTTGATTACATGTAAAAATTACATGTAAAAATATAAAACACCCTGAAATAATTACAACTGTTGTGTATTACACAACATTGTAATTACACAACATTCTACATTTAACACTATTGTAGTGACATTTTATTCTGGTATATAAAGCATTTTAAGATTCCAAAGATTTATCATAATTGTGTTTTATAGTTTTAACATATTGCATGATGGTGCAATCTGTAAAGAGTGATATCATTCATGTCTTACTTCGTAGCTGAAAAGTCCTGCACACAGTGCCCAAAAACAGATTGCGAGGAATTGATCTCTCTCAGCCCTGGGGAGAACAGCAAAATACACTCAGGATTCTCTTCACTGTTCTAAAGATTGTTCTAAATTCTACATTGTGTACAGCAAAATGAAAACTATTGAGGTACTTAGTATTGCTTGAAACAAAATAAGAGAAGGAAAAAGGGAGATGCATTTAATCCATTCAAGAAGAGTAAAAGGGGGAATCTGGACTGAGGGGAAAGGTAAGGAGTAAAGAGAGACTATTGATGTTAAAAGTGACATATTAAGAAGAGCACAGTTGTTCTGTGCGTGTTCAGCTAAGCCTGGATTTCTGTGTACGTCTAATACCTGTATTTGCTTGAATTTTCAGGATCCATTTCTTCATTAAAAATCGGGAAGATGCACTCAGGAGATATTCTGAGCCATCACGTAGCCTGCAAAGATGATTGATTCAGTCAGTTTCAGATAAGCGATCGAGTTGGTCCAGTTGTTGTGAAGTGTCACCTCGTTCCTGTATAAGGAACTGCTGATACGAACACAACACCGGGCTGACAAATGCGGACTGGAATCTGAACGCGCAGTGAAAGTTAGGCTGGAGTGGAGAAGAAAGCACAGGGTGGGAAAGTAGAGAAAACCTCTGTTTTCTGGTCCTCACCGGAGACTGAAGCAGTTGGCCTTTTTGGTGTACTCCGGAGCTGGAACGCACTCAGCGCCAGTCAGGTTGAGGGGCAGTCCTGCCACGGTACTCTGCACAGGGCACAACAAAATAAAAGAGATCGAGTGTGACGAGCAGCTCTCCCTGCCCCTGCTGAAACTCAGTTTTGTACACTTGCGGGCTGCGAGTGAGCGCAGTGTCAATCCTGTGACAGCAGAGTTCTGCACTGTCTAGATTTTAGAGGGGAGTGACGTCACTTCTCTAACTCGCTCAGTGCTCTGAGCCCTGTTACACAAACACAGTGATTTGTTCAGGAGCTCACTGGTTATCAATATTCCATTTTTCTCAGGTGAAACATTCAAAGATGGTCAGGTTACATGTCTTGCCAATCTCCTATGATCCTTATATCAGTAAATCCGCCTAACGTCCATAGATTTTTATTTGAGGATTTGCAGAAATCGTAAATCATTAGTTTAGAAAAGACTGGGCTTCAGCCAAAGTTATTGCTTGGCCTTTGCAGTGCCGTTTGCTGTGTCCTCTACAAAATAGCTCTATCCTTTGCTAACAAATACAGAGGCCCCTAAGAATCCCAGCTTACCTTCAGTGTGTCTTTTCTGTCTTGGTAGAAGCAGAGAGTCTGTTTAAACAGCACAGCATGATATGTGTTCCAGGCTCTGCACGCCGCCTGTGATGGTAAAACACAATAATCCCATTTTGAGCAAGGCTATCGCATAAACTTACAAAAATGTCTATGAATGCTTGAAAAGACAAAAGGTAGTGGCTCAAATACCTTGTTTATAAAAATGACTATTTATGATGGAAATAACACGTCCTTAATAGCCTAAGTTTGCGATATGTGCTTTACCCAGCACTGGGGCTGAGTTTTGTTTTCAGTCCTTGACAAAGGTTAACCCTCCACCTCAAAGCAAGGTCTTCTCTCACACAGAGTTTCCTCTTGCCTGCGAGCGCTTGTGTTATTTCAGCAATCCCTCCCTTCTCACCTTCTTTCCTCCCAGTTGCAGCTTGTGCTTCCTCTCCAGTGTTCCTGCCATCGATTGAAATTCAGGATTCTTCCCGTTCTGGAAGCAGCACATATGAAACAGAAAGCACACAGTCTCACAAGCTCTGCCATATCTTCTGTGCCCAACATTGACATCACAATTAAGTAAAAGCCAATCGGTTCCAACAGCAGCTTTCACGGTGTGTTAAATCAGCAGCAGTACAAAACACAGAATAGTTTTCATTCTGCAAGAATGCAGGAAGGAAAAAAAAATGCTGTTTGAAAACTCTGCAAGATCCACATTCCCAGGTAAAAAGACTTTTTGTGTTGGCGTCTGTGTGGATATTTCAAAACGACAAGCAACTTACAACACCATTAAAATGAAGTAGAATCAGTAGAAGATAAACACTGAATTCTAGAATACTAGAACTTGATTTTGGAAGTTTGGAACAATGTGATGCTGATGCCTTCACAAACAGACGAGATGAAAAAAGAATCATGCTTATTGCTTTGGTCATACCACAGAGCTGCAGAGCCCTCCAGTGGTAGAAATGTGTCCCTGCTCAGCGCGGTCACACTCGGGACTCATGGAGGTTAGCTGGTTTCCATGACCCTCCAAGCCCATGTGAACTGACAGCAGGCTCACCGATTGGTCCTGTGGAGTGGTCAGATGTTCATGTGTGTTAAAGTCAAAACACGACACTGTTCTACTTAAAGCGCTTCTCCTTTTGTGGACACGTTTGCATCTCTGTTCATCAGTGTATAATAAACAACTTTTATTTGCTGTGTTTAGACTCGTAATAAGCATGATACAAAACAAAAAACACCTGGGTTTCTGGAGGATTTCATTTTTTTGTAACTGATTACTGAAAGAGACAGGAGCTGAGAGAAATGGAGCAGAAATTCAGGATTTATATGGGCATAAGTAATTACAGACTGCATCGCTAGTTTAACTTTAGATATGAGATATATTTTAAATTACAGTGTGCACTATTAGAGAAAAGGCTAAGGGTAATGCATATGTTGTTTCAGGAAATAATCAACCATACATACTTTATAATTGTTGTTATCATTTAATGTTTGAGCCTTTGTTATTCTCTGTTATGACTCTTTTTGATTTTGTTGCCAGGGTGTACTTGAATGTCAATGAGGCCTTAATGCAGGTGAATTACAGACATGCTAACAGAGCTGTGGTTCCTTTGACACACCTGTGCCAACACCCTTCTCAGCAGCCCAATCTAGCTGCTACATCTCGGAATGAATCACCAGGCACAAAGTGTTAGTGTCAATGAGATAATAAATGTAGACCTCACCTTCAGACAACCTGTGTCCTCCACCTCCTCCTCCTCCTCCTCCTCCTCTCTATACTGGTAGATATACTTTTGCTGGTCCTCTACATCAGGCAGTTTCACCATATCAGAAGCTGTCTCATTAACCAGAGCTATCTGCTGGTCAGGCTGTTCCTGCTGAGGGAAAGCAGCCCAGGACTGCCTGTTGCCCCTGTCTGGGCTCTTCTCCCCAGCACTCTGCTCTTTACTGTAGCCAAGAAGGGTCTGAATGGAGGCTGGAAGCCTGAACTCAGCGACCAGCAGGTTGGGTGCCGAGGCAGTGATTAGTTTCCTGTATAACACATCTTGTCCCCGAGAGTCTGATTCCTCCTCTCGCGTGGAGGGTGAGCCTGTCAGTTCCTCCTTGTGGGTCTGGTACATGATGTCAGAGCAGATGCTCTGCCTGTAGCTGTTGGTTTTGTTCCAGATGTCCTCCAGCTCCTCCTCCTCTTCTTCAAACTGCTGGTGGTCGGGATGGATGACGCCCATGGCTTCCTCTCTGGCTCCTGCTCCTGCTCCAGCTCCTGCTCCAACCCCAGCCTCACAGCCGCTTAGGTCACCATTACAGGCCGCGCCTTCTGCTTCTGCGAATGAATAAGGTCTCCCAACAGCTTTCCTCAGCAGGGAAACATCCGCTGCTTCCATGCGCTGTCTGGGACAGACCTTAATCCTTCCAATGTTGCAAGTACTTGAATCCACCAAGTATTCCCTGTCCTTGATGACAGTGTTTTGGTCCTTGGCCACGTGGGGGGTTGCAATAGGGCTGATTCCAGAAATGTCTGTAATGCCTTGTTTCTTTATGAGCACCTGGCATGCATTGCCACCCGGGCAAAAGTTATACACAGGTTCAGAGTGGCAGTCACTGCCTTTGGGTTTAAGGTGATTCTCCCCTTTGAGTATATCAGTCGTTTGGTTGGCACTATGTAGATTTTCAGGAGAGTCCAATGCAGATACCTGCTCCTCCCAATCATGTCCAGCCTTCTTAAGTAAATCACTGATTTGGCCCAACTTTATGTCTGATATGTCTCCACCAAAAATGGCCTGACTATTGGTTGCAGAGTCATATTCCTGTTTACGCTTCTCAGAAAGTTGGGGCAACACTGAGAGAGTGTCTAAACTAACCTTTCGGGAATTATGATTTCCTTTTATTACACTCTTTTCCACTTCTTGGCTGTGTGGTGAAGATTCTTCACCGAGTTTGGGTTTTAAACACGTCTGTTTGAAAGTGCTAAAGCCCAGACATCTTTCGGATATCGAATTTCTGCTGTACAGGCCATGACCGTCACTACTGCTTGAAAGGTCACCCGTCCTTTTCTGTTCCTGGGGAGCTATTGTAATAAGATCTGGGATGTTGCTTATGAGGCTCAAGTCCTTAGGCAGTTCAAAGCTCAGCACAGAACCCAGAGAGACATGTCTGCAATTTTTTTTGACATGTGGTGTGGAGCCATCTTTGTTTAGATGTGTGCTTCTTTTTGATGTCGAATGAGCAAAGTTTGAAACACTAGTGCATTCTGCATCAATGTCCTTAACCAGTGGGTTTTTGACATAGTCAAGAACCTGTCCATTGACAGGACTGGGATCTGTGGACCCTTTTGTTCTCTCCTTTAGAGGCCACGTGTTGGTGTTATATGTGATTGGATTGTCCTCCAGCGGTCTAACGTCTGCCTGGCTGACACCCATGATCTTCTGGATGGTGTGTCGGCGAACATCTCTTTTCTTCTTCTTGTTCCTCCTCTTCAGGCTGCTGAAGAGGGAGTTAGAGGTGATCTTCGGCAGTGTGTGGAAAGAGACACTGCTGACCGAGCACATGGAGGAGGTGGAGGGTTGAGGTTGCTCCTTACTAGAGAGGCGGGGCAAAGTAACGCTCTCGTATACAGGTGTCATAGCTTTGTGGCTGTCCTTGACATGCAGATAGGTACTTACCTAGAAAAGCAAAATAAAATAAGGTTAGATCAAGGAATCTTTGTGGTTCATGTGAACCTCACTGATGCATCGATTCTTTTGTTATCTGTGAAGCTCCATGCTCTCAGTAGCAAGCTTGCATTCCTTGGATTACTTAAACATTTCCATTGCTTTTTCTTACTGGTAACGTTGTCAAGGTGTGGAAACCTCGCAAAATCCCCTTTTAAGATGCACCAATCTTATCCCAGTACAATTTGCTCCAAAATCTGGATTTGCTAAAAAAAAAATTGGCACTTACTCTTTTAAGTGCAGTGTGCAGTGCCAAATGTGGAGAAATGTTTATCAATTCAATGTGTTCTGTTTCTTACCAGTAAGAATTGCATGACATAAATTACTAAATTAACATGGACATTACCTATTTGCAGTGTTTTCTGCACTAAAAATAAAGTACTAGGTAAATGCCTCAAGACTTGCTATATGAGTACATTTACCAGTGTTTTATTGAAATCACATGGTGTATAAATGAGTTAATACACAGCTGTAATGGTTTGACCTTTAACCTGCATGACTAATCTCATGTTGCCACAGCGGCCCACATTCATAAATCATTTACAGCAGTCCTGGAATCTAATTTATAAGTTCACAGTACATTCGGTGCCACAACGGGCTTCCTCAAAAAGCCGTGCCAAGTCAAGCCCAGTTGTGCATGAAAGCATTTCAAAGTAAGACTTCATGGGAACTAAAGCATGAAGCTGCACTATATACCACTGTACCACAATGCATAAAATCAACATGGCCTTGACGTTAGCAGCAAGGTTGAAGAAGGAAAGTACTTCGATAATTACACTGCTCACAGATTCAGGGACCTGCTACTACATTGAGGGAGTGCCCTCTATCCTCTCCTATTATATTTTTCCTGTTGTGTCATTTGCTGAGCTCCCTTGCAGCATAAATACCCACTGAAAGCCGACAGAGAGGAAATCGCGGAAAGTCAGTTAGCCGTCTGCCTTAATGCCGTAGAAGCGGTCAGACATGAAACCACAGAGCAAAAGCCATTTCCCTTTAGCTTCACATTTCCTGGGGACAGTCTTTTTTAATTTAAATGAAAGAGGGAAATTAAAAGGAAGATGTGCATGTTCCATTCCAGTGCATATTGACATGTATTCCCAATCTAATGTTCTGGGATGTCTCAAAATTCATCCTTTGGAGCTGGAACAAAATCACTGGATTGCACAGAAAACAGTACATTTCGATGTCCTGAATGATCAGTTCTTGTCCTGTTCTACAAAGTCCATATGCCTTTGTATTACATGAACTTTAGAAAGTATCTTTTTAAAATCAAAGCCCCCACAATATCATATAATACCTAGGTATCTTAATACAATTTTTGGCCCCACTGTTCATCAGTTTCACTGTTTATGTCCATCCAGGTTATTTAACCATTTCAATTTACAAAGGCAAGGAGCAAACAATTGAAATATTTGCAAGGTATGTTGATGATGCACATCACAAGATAAAAGACCTCTTAGAGCTAAACATGAGTAGACAGTAAATATAAAATCTAAATCCCAGGGGACCTTTTCCAAAAGGCAGTATATGTAAGAAGCTGCTTCGCTGAGAAAATGGAAACTGAATACATTTGAAACTCGTAGAATAACAGCATGATTTTTATCTCCCTGGAAATGTTCCAAAAAGCACAAAGGAATTTTGCTGGAATCGCCACTCAACATTTTCACATCTTTCAGTAAACAATTTCTAGCTTTGAAATTGTACTTTGTATTTTCTTTGGCTTCATATTATTAAATTCTCTTATTTAAGTGCAAATGTTGCCAGGCTGTATCATGGGCTGATCAAAGAATTTTTTTTTCTTATTGAAATATCTTTTTCTTCTTTTTCCATTACCTGCTTGAAAGTGTTTGCAATCATTCTTTGCCAAGTTCATTTTTAAAAAGTGAATTTGCCTCTTGTGATCTCCACACAGTCTCTTGGCCACAGTATGTATGTTTGTATAGTTTTTGCTCATGCTGTTGATGTGTGTGCCATTTTCAGTATAGATCATTGCAAAAGAATATATTGATAAAAAGACTTTCAGCTTTGTCATGAGAATACCCCCAAGAAATAACGTCAATCCATACATTTGATCCAATACAGGGTCACAGGGGAACCAGAGCCTGTCCCAGCAAACCAAGAAATCAAGTGTTTATACATTATATACATTTGGCTTTTGCCCAAATAGCTTGGCTTTAACAACTTGGCCATTTGCACAAGGCAGGAGGAAACCCCTATAGAATGAGGTAAAGGGTTTGCTGCATTGATGGTAGCAGTGAGGATGGTGAAGATGCTCTTTAAGCAAAGCAGAGTATGCTGAGAAAGTCTGAAGATCAGTATTTCCGCTCCAGTGAGTAATGGTATAGTGGATAGTGGTGTTATCATAGCCCTGAACATTCATTATGAACTCCTTTAAATACAGTGATGATCAGTATTCAAGTTTGAAGATGCTGCAAGCACAGATACAGTAGGCATTTATTTTACTCTGGCACATTACGCCTTCGTGACTGATGGCTGACCTGTTTGTTTTCTGCAAAAGGGGGGGGGAACATCCCCAGCTCCCACTGCAAATGATTCTTTGCATTAATTGAGCAGGCACACGTCTGAGCTGCACAAATCTGTGGTGCGTGTTAGTAAGACTTCAACTTCAAGCCCTTTGTTGTCATACAGCACCACCATGCATTCACAAACACAACATGCAGTTGTGCACGCCATTTACCTCTTCAGCACTTTGCTGATAAATCTTTTTCTTTCTCTTTAAACTACCAAAAGTATTTTCCAAAAGCCCCTGGCAGCGCTTCCAAAAGTTTTTACAGGCAGAGGACTGAGATTCAGATGGCTGAAGGAGAGGGAGAGAAGGAGAAAGCAAAAACAGTAGAAGGATGAAGGGTCATTTGAAAGGGGGGAAAAAAAGGATGTGAAAAATGTCAAATTTACAGGGTAAAAAAAACATAACCAGACACCAAACAGGAGATCCTGAACTCTCTTTAAGAACTTTTGCTTCTGCCAAGAAAGAGCAACCAAAAAGATGTGCTCACACTTTGTCCCACTTGTCTTTATTTTTTCTTTATTAAGTTTTTTTGGGAAACGATCACCAGATTTGGAACTGCCAATCGTGTGTTTTCCATGTCTTTCATGCTGCAAAGCCTGCAGATGCACACGGGGAATGAGAAAGTGCAGGCAGGCTCCTCCAAACCTGCCCACCTTCACACCCTTGTCTAGTTTTAACACGTCACAGGCAGTACAGGCCTGTACTGTGGAAGTTCAGCAGCAATTGCAGAAGAAGGGGTTCCTTTTCCGGCAGCAGTCCGTGTCACAGGGGCCCCCTTCAGAATCCTGGTCACAGCTGGCTGGTGACATCATCCAGACTTGAACCTGCAGTGCCTGGATCATAGAGTCCTGCCCTTCCATTTCTATCTCCCAGGTTCAGTTGAACTCATGTCAAGTGCCCCATGAACTGTAGCACCTAATGGAGCATAATATCATCCGCAGCTGTTTTTTTCAGAATCAAAAATAATATTTTTAAGCCTGTGCTTCAAACCAATGAAATTCTAAAATAAGAATGATGGTAGCCTTCAGCTGTCTGACTCTCTTTCCTATACAACTTAGACTGAACAGAAAAAAGAATTAGAAACTTTGCCTGCAAATTCCTGAATCCCATGAGTCTCCAGAGATTCAAACAGCACAAATGTAGAAGGAAAATTTGGTCATATGAGTATAGAAGAAAGCTTGTTCTCTTTTCGTGCATGTAATTCCTGCATGTTACGGTGCACATTGATGACGAACACGTTCATCCTGCCCTGGGGCTGGGGAACTTACCCGGTGGACAGGCTCCTGGGTCTCCCCCTCTTCCACAGGGTCTTGAACCTGCAGCTGACTGTCCCCCTTTTTACCAAAACTGAGAATGAGGTTGACTGTGCCGCCCAGGGATGGGGCACTGGGCTCTTTCAGAACGAGGAAAGGAGATTCTGGGGAGTCTGCAGACAGCAGGCCCTGCGGAGCCCCGACAGGGGAGCTCACACCTTTCTTCTTCTGACCAATCTGAGCCATCACCTCATAGCAGGCCTCAGGCTGCTGCTCACTGACCGCGTCACCATGGATACTGGACCCATCAGGACCAGAGCAGGCCTCAAAGTCTGCTTGCCTCTGGCCTCCTTTGAAATGTGCCTTTGCCATTAGAGGCAGCTCTGACTGGGGCGAGAGGCTCTGCAGGAAGAACAAGAAAAAAAAAAACTAGTACACTATTTTAAAAATGTTTTAAAATGTATTTTGTCATGTTGGCGGAAAAGTTTTGGTTAGTATGCAAAAAGTAAGAAGGTATAGTTGTTCTGGTCTGAGGGACATGGGCCATATTTTTCAAATTCATTTTTACACTTTAAAGAGTCATTCTTTAAAAACTGATACAAATTACTGAGAAAATGGAACTTTTATTTCTCTTCTAATATTTGTGCCACTTTTGGACTTGTGGGAAATTAAAAGCAAGGAGAAAGAACACTTAATTATTCAATGTCTTCCAGGCTTACCTGATGTTGCTGAGGTGAGCATATTGTAGCTTCTGAGTAAATGACATCACCCTTTGGCTCTTCTTTTCTTTTCCCACAACTCCTCTGGTGCTTCTGTGCCCTCCAGCGGACAAGAATCCATCCCAGCATGCTCCTCAGTTCCTCTGTTCTCTCTTTGATCTGCAGGGGAAGTCAATGCTTAATTATTTGCATTATTACTTCAAATTCCTTTATTATTTGCATCACTATTTTAAAAATGTTTAGTTTTATTAGTTTTATTAAGTATATATTATACAATATTTAAACTTAAGGGATCATAGTTAATACCACTTACACATAATATGCTGTTTTACTCTACTTTTAGTGCAAACTTTCTTTTACAGTGATTAAAAGGATCAAATGTCATTGTTTTGCCACTTATTCCTGAGAATAGATTAATTATTATATTACTTTATGATGGCCGGTGGTCTTTCAACCAGTCAGTAACCTACTTTCCCATTTTCATGTTCCCACTGCTTGGATCCCAGCGCTGGGTTTTGACACTGAGCATGTATGTCCTGACAGCCAGTGACATCAGACCCAGTATTGTGGAACCCAAGGTAGCAGAATCAGGCCTTAGGAAACCTCAGCTACCTCACTCAAATAACCCAGATGACAGACACAGCACAGCAGGATCCCAGCCCCTGAAGCTGCAGAAACTGTTCATGATGTATTGTGATAAATTCACCTCTATCTCATTGCCTGGAAAGGGGGCAGCCAGCAGGCCTGGGACCCTCAGGGGTTACTTTACTCCCACCGGAGGCCTTTTGTTTTCCTCACCTCCATGGCCACATGGGCGACATTCACAATATTGTGAAGTGCTTTACAAATCTGTAAAGCACCGTATGACTAACTGTTGTGAAGGGCTCTATAGCAAATGAAAGGCTGATATGATTGATTGAACCCCAACTTGCCATCTCAGTCAAATGGTGCTCTTCATCAATTAGCTTCTGTCCGGCAGCAGCCAGGTCATCAAACTCTGCAAACTTCTGCTCAATCTTCTTATCGAGCTCTGCTATGACAGGCATTTGATTGCCTTTCCCAGGGTGCACAGTGGTATCTGAGAAGATGCAGGCTCGGGTATCCTCTGTCCAGGAACTGCAAGAGGTAAAATGGAGTCTGTTGTGGATTTTGAGAAGACTCAAACTATCATAGATTGAAATGACCTGGGTTTCACCTTTTCTTACAAAGGAGCACATATCGGATAACCTAGTTATCTATTAGCGACATAACTTGATGATATTTCCTGTGCACAAAGAATGCACAGTATTCTAATATCGTAATCTTATCTTAGATTTATAAAAAAAAAAATTATCCTTTCAACAAAATAAATAATGGATTGCTTAAATTGCATGCACCATGGTAGATATCCTGTGGTTTGTTGTTATCTACCAAAGATTTATTGCAGGATGAGGTCATGATGGAGTCTTGAGTCAATAAAAGGAGCACATCAATCTTGTGGTCTGTCACTTACATCATCGCCAGGTAATTTCTGAAGAAGTCCTGCAGCTGCAGAAACTGGCGGAGCCTTGCTCTGTTTTCTGTAAGGCTCTTGCCCAGCTCTTCCCAGACATGCAGTGTCGATCGAACCTCTTCACCCAGGACCTGCATTTTCTCCGGGCACAGCTCCTCTAATTGAGCAGCCAGTTTCTCCAATTCATCTACTTCCTCCTTGATAATCTCGTAGTCAATCTGCAGAGTGAAAACATTGGAGAAGCATAAAAGAAAACCTCTCCTCACTTCCATCAGATTTTGCTGATGTCTTGCGTAGTGTGCTTTTATAATCTTCCACAAAGTATACACGTCCTAGGGTTTTAAACGGTACCTATTAAAAGGATCCAGATGCCTTAAAAATTTCTAGGCCTGTAACTGTTTGCTTTGACAGTTTTTTAAGAGGAAAAATAATTAATTGCATTTAACACTCAATAAGAGAAAGCTTTACAATGCATTTTAAGGAACGTTCAGATATACAGTACAGTACATTGGATAGTTGCTCAATGACCGTGTTTCTATTTTTGTGTAGAAGATTAGGTCATTTTTGTTCTTTAATGGTATCGTATCCAGACAGCTGTGCGTGCATGTGATAAACATAATGTTGGCCCAAATATGACTCATACAGCGTACCCTCCCCCCTCTCCTCAAGCACACGCAAACTCACACGCACACACAATGAAATCCTTTGTGAATAATAAAATTATTCGCAATCTGTGTGGGATCATATGTTAGAGGTTACATCATGTAGCCCTAAACAAAAACCGAGACTGGCTCCGTCTAAGTTTGTGCCGAAATGTCTTTTTTGTCGTGAACTTGGAAATTTAATTGGGATCTCCACTGAAAAAGTACCAGCGTACAACAGGGTTGTTCCAAGGAATGAAAAACGTTGCAGGGAGAAACACTGTCCTGAATTCCAAACTGTTGGTTTTACATGTTTATGTCTCGACAGACAATTTCTTAATTAAGTAGACTTGCATTTTACCCAAAATATTTTTACACAGACTTGTGTACAGTATATGCAGTTGGCACTGAAAAAATAAATGAAAATCATAAAATGCAGGAAATTTCACAAATTCAAATCTAGTGCAGCATGCAGCTGAGCTACAGTACTCTTTGGGTACTAAATACAAAGCCTTTAGTATGCGGGTGCTTTCTTTATCGGTGCTTTCTTAATCGTGTGTCATCATCCTAAACCGAGAAGAAGTACAAAGCGGAAAGAAACAAGTACAGTATGAAGGGCAAAGGAAAGAAAAGTGCCTGATTTGGAGTTAAAAATTGAGATTTTGAATGAGTTGATAGTGATCAGCTATTCATCAGAGCAAGTAATAGGATTATTCCATGCTTAAAAGAGTATTTTGTATACTGTATAGTACTATATTTCGTATATTACTGTTTTCATAATACTATAAACTACATACACATGCTATTACACTTATGATTAATTTTACCTGATCAAGGGAGGGGAATAGGAGGAGCTATGGGGGGTGTTCTGATTATATGTGATTTTGGGTATACATTCTATGTCAGGAACCTAAATACTATGTGAAAAGAGAGTATTAGAGTATCTACTGTATTTGATCATTTTGAGGGAGTGGAGGTCATCTACTAGCTTTAAAAGAAAAAAGATGATTTTCTTGAAGTGAAAATGTGTGCATACTTCACGTACCTCCAGATCTTCTTGCTGGTCTTCCAAGTCTTCCAGCCCACACTGGTCAGGCTCACACTTCACTGCCATTTCTGTCTCCATCTCATGAATGTCCACGTGCAGCTCCAGACTTCTCGACAGTTTGCCATTAATCCTCACAGTGAGAGCTGAGTGCTGGGGGAAACATGAACTGAGCTTCTTAGCCTTTAGCCCCCCAGCTGTGGAGTTCTTCTTAACAGAGAAAAGGCATAGATCTTTGCATGGGATGATCCCTACCTGTTCTACGTTCTGTATAAAGGGCCTAAGTGCAGGTGGTACATAAGGGAATGTCTTCTTTCAGTAGCTCAGGTTGATCCTAATGAACGCGGTAGGGAGAAGATGTATGTAGAGAGTATTTGAAATAACTCACCTAGCTGAGGGAATGGCAGCCCAGCTAGAAGGATAAGGCACCCCACTCAGTACTGCGAGAAATGAGCTAGGGAGCTGCTGCAAGGGTGTAGATGGAGTGGTGGGAGGGATGTGATAGAGATATGCAAAGGGCAGACCTGTGAGCTAGACTTACAGTATATATGTAGGTAAGTGGAAGTGTGAGAGATTAAGATCAAACCTTCCTCCTGTACCTCTGTTATAAAGGGCTTTTAGTAGAAGCATAATGTTCCTGCCTCTGGAGTACAGGACTCCTACTTTATATTCTAGCTGTTGCAGTAAATAAACTGACTAATGATTCATTCTGTACAGTCTGCAATTGGTGTTTAAAACACATGGAAAAATTTAAGCAATTAATCTTTTGCTGCAATTACAAGTGCGTAATCAGTTCATGAAAATATTCTTTATACAAACTAATTTTGCTTATGAAGTTCTGCCAGTCCTTGGATAACATTATCTAAATAGCATCCCTGTAATGGAAACCTTAAATGTCACAGGAGTATTAGCTTCATCTTCTGAGGTGTACATATTGCACTTTGAACTACTTGTAAACTGCAATTTCATCATCACATATTATGACATTTGAAATGTGCATCACAATGATGGCTTTGCTGTTTGCAATATTACAGTGAGGATTAAACATTGGCAGTAGCCTCGTTTTCAGACCTTGGTTCTGAAGCGTGATTCTGTTTCATGTATATTAAGTAAATGACCATGCACCAGGGACAACTGAGCTCCAGATGTTCATGCAGCTGTGGAGAGTGAATACGTCCACATGCCACATCAGAGTACAGCTGGATGATGGCCAGAATGATCAAGCTGCTTTTGTGTTGTGTTTGTTTGCAATTCATGTAATTGGCCAAAATAATAACAACAATAACAAAGAAGTGAATCATATGATGGAATCATAGTAATAAACATCAATATGCACTTGGCCTGTGATATTTCCAGCCACATAAGTCAAGGAAGGAAAACTACCACAAAGTATTGCATAACCATCTAAACCTCCAGGTCACCCCTGCAGGTAAAATCTTCTAAACTGAAACATTACTTAATTCATTAAATAAAACCTAAAGAGTGCATAGGAGTCTGTGGTTTCCTTCATTGTATTTCACTGTAAGTACATAATTGTTAGTCTGTTTTCTGTTTTAAAATATACTGTAGGCTATTAAGTTCCCCCAGTTACCTGCTATTCAGAAGTTATATAACCATTACACTCCCTGCACTCCGTCGTGAAACGGAGCATGGAAACAAGCATGCCGCTGGAAACAATTCTGCTAATCAAGCTGGTCTCTCCTCCTCACCACACACAACCAAAATGAGCTTAAACCACAAGACCTGTCTTCAATGCCCCAGGCCAACAGCCCGAACTGGACATTTCTGAGCCATGCTCCCTATTTCGGTGGTTCTTGGTCTGTTTCAGCCCAGTGGCTGAGGAATGCTGCCCACTGGTTTTGCAGTGGCACAGCCTGGATCTGAACTTGTAGTTTCCTCCCTGCAGACTTCAGCTCCCTGGAGCCCCACGAGCTGATGTTTTTCCTAAAGGGCATGTGTTGGCCTACCTGGCTCAGCAGCTCCTTGATTCCCTGGTCTTGGTTGCGGATGAGAGATCTGCCCCTCTCCCTCACTGTGTCATTGAGCATCTCCACTGCCTCTCTCAGCTCCTCCACAGGGTCTGCAATGCTGTCAATCAGCTGACTGGCTGGGTCCGAAAGCTGGAGCAGTGAGGAATTGGATCGCAGCTCACTGCCACGAGCCTAAGAGATATCACCTTGTCACTTTTTGATGACATCACAACAGAAAGTTCTGGGTTTTCTAATACTACGTCCATTACTGTTATTTTCTACCACTTTGCTGACAATAGCAGATAGTGACAACAATAGTGATGACAGTACCATGGCTCAACTTAAAAGTAGGACAAAATACGGGCACTTTTTTATTTTTCCAGCATTTTGTATTTTACTTTTTACATCATGTTCCTCACTGTCTTTCAGTGGGTTTTGTTGGAATGTAGGCGAAAAAAGCACAAAACAAACAAATCAGACCCAGCAGGGCCAAAGGGGAAATGTTTTTGTGACTATGCAGATCACTGCTGTGGCAAAGTAGCATTTTTTCCTGGTATTGTCATGGTGTGAAATATCAGAATAATGTTAATAATATAAAAGTCATCTACAAAAAATTGACCTTGCGTCAAACCATGATTTAATTAGTGGTCCTGAGGTTTTTGAAGCTGTTTTATATCAGGAAAGAAGGCCAGCTTTAGTTTTTCATGCACAAATACAAACATTTCCAAACCAGAAGCCAGAACTTGTGAACCTTCCAGTCTGTTTATCCAGATAAAAATGAGCTCTTCTGGATATTTGTCCTTGAGGTACAAAAAACTACCACTCCACAAACCCAACTATGGAGTAAGAGCTGTTATTGCTCGAGTCTGTTACTGAGATAATAAACTGAGGGAACAGGTATCATGTCAAAAGTGTGAATGGCAGAAGTCAAGTCTTGCCGTTTAAAACCAAAATAAATTTAAATGCAAATCTGTTTAAAATATTGCAGGAAGGTACACACTTTTATTCTCTTTACCCTACATCTACTAATTATTGTGTCCTTTTAATAAACATAAATTAATATAAAGTCATTAGACTTTCTTGCATCTCATTATGTCCTCATGAAACACATACTAAAGCACCTTATGGTTTTTATTGATTACTTCTGGAATATAGACAATGAGAATGCTAAACTGTCCAAGTGTAACACACCAGTCTTGCTTCAGACTACTGGCAGGAACAAATCTAAAGGTACTGCAATACATATGTCTTACGAGTTGTTTTGCATTATTCAAGTGATTTCTCAAAGCCCCTCTGCTTATTCCTCAGTAAAGTAGCATGGCAACGTTTGGCAGCTGGGCCCCAGTGTATTTCATGTAGGGCGAGCTCATTGACGACTGAAGGCGACGTAACACAGTATCCACCTGTTCATTGCAGTCCACGGAGCTCATTCTCTTGGGCTCCAGACATTCCTCCAGCTCCACTCTCTCCAGGAACTCCGTCAGCATGCGAGTATCCTGCAGCTCTGAGGTCTGCTGTTTCAGAGCTTCCTGCACACTCCGGTACCTGAGGAACAGACAAGGGCCCATAGCAATCCAGCAAGGGAAACAGGATTCCTGGAATTCATGGTATTTGATTCACAAGGCTTGAAAAAAGCGACAATTCATATTTTCACTCAACCAGAGGTCAAATTTGGCTCTGGTATAAATCAGCGCCCTCAGACCTGAATCACAGGTCTGTTACTGAAGGAGTGATTATTGTACAAGAAGAAATTCAACTCTGACTCTGAAGACTTCTGGAAGGAACTGTTCCTGCATTGTTCAGTCAGAATTCATTAGCAATGTGTTACCCGTTTTCTAAATAGAGTGAAATTATGAGGAGACGTCTGCAGCACTTCAATGACAGAAGCCCAAGCAGAGACTGGAAAGCCCCTGGAATCCTGTTGAAGCTTTAAAAAAAGCATCCAGACAGAAGGTCTATGCTTGGAGATCTGACATTTGTAATGCAGAAAAAAGAAAGCTTACAACAATCATCCCTTGCTCACAGACCCAGACTACAAGATGCGTGTTAAGAAGGAACTATTAACTTACTAAGAGCTCACATGTTTTTGTCATTTGCAAGTATAAGTTATACCTGTATGGGTTTATTCTCAGAAGGCATGAAAAAAGAGACAGAGAAGTCCTCCGTGGAAACTTATAAATTAAACCTTTTCCATTTCTTTATTTTCTTTGGTAGGCTTGCTGTCTTTAACAGAGTCGGTGTTGTGTTTATAGACATAGGTACATCTAATAAAGCTGCCCACATCATATAGTTTTACAAGGAGTCCAGTGCAGCTTTACTTTGCAAGAAGGAAATCTCTCAGACCAAACCCAAGTCTGTGATTTCAAACACATAAAAATGTGGAACACTGAATCCATTGAATATAAAATGTATTTGCGGGAGCGATAAAGGTCATTTCAGGCCACTACAGCAATTTCAGTTGAGGAACTGAACAGCCTGCTGCAACGCAAAAGGTTTTAGGTTTCAGGAGTGTGGATGATCAATGCGTTAGTCAACCAATGCAGAGAGACACAGCATCCATTCAAAACATAAACTGGGAGAAATAAAAGCATGCCAGAAAAACCTAAAAATTAGGATCAAAATCGCCAAAGCGGTAACTGCTGAAATGTGTTTTTGTACGTTTTACAGTATCCACTCTTTTTTCACAAGTGTCCTGAAAATACCTCAGATGTTAATAAAACAGACTCTGGCCCCAGAAGATTATTTGCAGGAATGTATCTTAAAACCTGGCACTCAGACAGTCTGTGAATGGCTGAAGAACTGCCACCTTTCACAAGTTCAGCTCAAAACACAACAGGACTCCACTGCAATGGCAAAATATTATTCTTTGAAAGGAGTGTTTTGAATCCATTTTTTAAGGTGTTATTTCACCTGCATTTGTCAGCGTTCCCTAACCTCCCACTTTTTGACCGACACACAGAAAATAACTTGAAAAGGTTTGCAGCTGAACCGACGCATCTCCGCCTGACTCTGATTGAGCTCGTTAGCCTCTTCTTGCTCTCGTGTTGCACCCCAAGGAGCCCGGGAGAGAAAACCTACTTCTCCTCCACCTCGTCCATCCTGCGCGCCAGCTGCTGGGTATGGACGTGCCTCCTGCCACTCAGCTTGTCCACCTCCTGCCGCAGGACCCTGAGCTCCAGGCCTCTGGAGGCCACCTCTCTCTCCAGAAGGCTGCTCTCCCTCTCTGCAGCTGACACGGACTCGGGGTCTCCCTCCAGGGAGGACTGCCGGATGGACGACTCCACCGTCTGCAGCCAGGCCTCCAAGCTGCTCAGGTCCTTCAGGACTTTCTGCGCCTGCCCATGACGCATGAAGAAGTGCAGACAAAAAGATGGACATGCTCTCGGTCAGCAACAAGAAAGAAAACTGAATGTTACACTTGGGCCAAGCTATGTATGGGAAACGGAAAGAAAATGGACAGAAAACGTAAGCTCTGCATACTTTCTGAAACTGTGAAACCACCAGACATAGCCAGTAAGACAATTTTGTTTCGAAGTCAGTCATTATTTTATGATAAAAGTGGCATTTCTGTGATGAAATAGCTAGAGTACAGTTTCTAGTCCACACTAGCAAAGGCTTGCTTTTCTGACAGGGAGTCAGGCTGCACCTTTAAGTCCAGTTTCTCTGATTCCTGGAGCACCACGGCATTCTTCTGGTGTCTCTTCTTCAGCTCCTCCCAGAGCACGTCCAGCTGGCCAAGGAACTCTTCAATCTTTGCACTGCCTGGGTGCTGTGCTCGCACAAGGCTCCTTCCCTCCTACAGTATATGTAAGTCAACACATGGTTCACTACACATACACACAACGCATATAGAATTATTTCTCGTGCCCTTGCCGCTCCACCCTGCCGGTTCGTCCCGCAACATCTGGGCGCGAACCCCGGTCTCCGGTGTAACGCAGCAGGGAACCAGCCGAGTGAGCTAAAAGAGACCTCCCTCAGCCCAGGTGGCTGAGGTCCCTGCGACGCGCAGGGAGGGTGATGATGTCACCGTGCCCAAACTAGCTCCGCTACAACGTTACTAAGACGAGCATCGCGGCACCACATTGGGTATTCAGGCCTGTGAAAAGTGCAGGGTAGCCCCCTGTGTTTCGCACTTTGAACCCTGTAGTGCTAGCAGAAGAATTCACTTCAGTTGGAAGAGTCACAGGGGTCGCTGCTGTGCAGCAGACTGGGGAAAACTCAAGGCCGGCCAGCCATCTACTGTATGTAGTCCTGTGTAAGACCGCTGATGGCTGACGTGCAGGGCTCAGGCATAACTCTGAATGAGTGCCTTTACTGGCTAAGGAGCTTGGGAGCCCCCACGAAACTTTGTTCCATTCCTACCCTTATTAAATTCATTAAGCTTAACTGGTAGTTAAGCATAAAAGTAGACCTTTCTGTTGCATTAAATAAGCTCTTGTAGCTTGGAGATTTGGAAATATTTCTGAGCACTTCTCGGATTACCAAGTTTACACGAAGAACAAATTCTTGTTTGACAGAATGATGCACAAAAAAAACAACGGTGATTTCTGGCCCTCAGCATGTGGCCGAGCACATACCTTCTGGACCACCTCAATTCTTGCCCTGTTTGACAGGATGTCCTCTTCCAGGGCGGCCTGGCACCTCCTGGCCTCCTCAAAGCCATCGGGACCGACAGCGCAGCAGAGCTGGGTTGCCATAGCAACATTGTCCTTCAGCCATGACAGAGTCTTCATAGGAAAAGAATGGAACAAAAGATGAAACTTACAGCCACACTCCATAAGAAACAGGTTACCACAAGAAAGAGCAAAATACGAAAATTTAATTTCCACTTTCCACAGCTTTTTCAGTAATCGGTTATGGGTCTATTATTGCAAATAATTATTACTTAATTTAATTAAATTGTAGAATATTACTCATGCCATTAAAAAAAGAACATACAGACAACTGACAGAGAGCTATGAGGCAAAGACTATGCCTGGACATCAGGAAAATGTATTTTGGTTCATTTTATTTTATGTGGACAAGTCCTGTCTCACTGTCTCACTGAATTACAGTGCATGCAGCTTTTGATGTAAATATCAATTAAGAAACGTTAATGAGATCAATTTCCCACAATCGTTCTCTACGATTCTCTACGTCATTAATGAGTAAAAAGAAGCCTAGATCCCAGGCGTGAAATATAGCTACAGTATGTACAGTAGCACACTAATTACCTTATCTGCAGAAACCGTGAATTTCTGTAACTGGACTTGGAGTTGTGAGTTTCCACGTGAGAAGGCAGTGTGGGACTCAGTCTTATGTTTCTTACTGTAAAGTACAAATATTAGTTATGTACAAACAGAGAATGACATTCAATCAACAAACCAATCAATCAATCAAAATATTTTAATGGATTTTATTGACTTTGCAATTGTTGGCTTTCAACATGATTGACCCCATTTTATATTAAAAATGTCACAGTATGTTGATTTAAGGCGTGCTTTAAATATTAGACAGTATGAATTAAAATGAAAGAAAGATGTTTTTCTGCAAGAAGAGATGTTTTTGATTTGCTTGATACACTGTACAGTAAGTAGGTGTTATTGTTTATTTTCACATTTCCCTTGTGTGATCTAGAAATGCAACATGATGGCGAATCTACCTGTCTTCATCTGCTTGGCTCCTCCCACTGACATCATGTGAGTGGCAGGGATTAATTCCTGTTTCTGTGGTAGGGCTCTTTGAAGAGTGGTCTTCAACTTGGCTGCTTATTAATGTCCTGACACCCTCAGGCTCTCTAATGCTCTGTGAATGAAAAAAGTATAACGATTTGACCAGATAATGATATGAAAAGGCTTTTTGTTAAATCTTTAAATAATAAAAGCACCATCTTTTGTGCAGATCAGATGTTATCCTAATTTGAGTGATATACTGCCTCTGATTTTTCAACTTTTTTCTGATAAGCTTCTTTAATCAGCTACCAAATTACCACGAAAGAGACAAGCAATCATATCACCCACAAGCAAACCAAACCCACATATTTAAGGTTACATTGGCATCTTAAGGCTATAGTTGAAGGAGCAGAGAAATGTGCTGAAACCGATAGGCTTGAAAACCATTACATTCTGTCTAGAAAAACCACAGAAACCAGCAAGGTGGCACATGTGCTAAACTGGACTTAAAACACAACATAACATTTCTGATGCATTTTGAGATGCTACAAACTGGATGTATATGTATACTTGACATATACATCCATATAACTAAACAAAAGTGTTTTTCTTGAAATATCTGCTGTATTGAAGTTCCCAGTAGCGTACCAGTGAGAAGTATAAAGCAGTGCGCTTGTGTATACTGAGTGTAAAGCAGTGTATTGCTTCAGTGGTCTTACTGTATGAAATGATGATAGTTTGTATCTGGGCTTCTGTTGTGTCTGGTTTTCAGCAGTGCTGTATCTGACACAAGTGTATCACTGTCACTTTGTGGCTGGAGATTTCCTCTGAGAGAGTGTGGCTGGGGGGACTGAGATAGCACACTGTCCCAGCAAGGGCAGACAGATGGAATCCAAGGGCCTAGTGAGACAGTATTTAATACCTCGTTTTGATTTCCCTACTGCATTAGCTCATGATCATTAAAGACTTGAGGTTGAAAGACTGAAGAGCAGGGATCTACAATATAATTTGTACTACATGCAGATCTTCACATATTCAGGGGCCTGACCCTCTTACTACCAGGAGGATATTAGTGGTTATACGGTTTGCCTGATTCGCACTAAGGGTAACTGTTTAGCAGTATCCACTACCTGGCCCTTTCTGTGCTGGATAATGTATTAAAAACAAAATCAGGCACCGGGGCTTCTCACTTTAATAATTGCAAGGGTCATGTCATGGAAAGGCTAGCCAGGGGTTTTCACCAGTGCTAACAAGCATTCCAGTGCTGTTTTGTCTATGACAAAGTTCTCAGATCCAGAGCCTCACTCCATGTGGAAAGAAGCTAAGCCAGGCCATGCCATCCAGTCTGCTGCTTTTGCTTCAGTGTAGGATGATCTCTCAGACCCAGCCTGCAGGTGTGTTCATTAAACTGCAACTTTTACACCAATCACCAAGGGAGGTTAAGGTTGTTTTACTCGTCTGTGCTGTCTACAACCAATACGTCTCAACCTTGCACTGCTGTTTCTCTTTCCATAGTGTTTCACAGCCTGTGCTGAGACTCTACAGGGTTCCACCACACAGGCTGAGTCTCAACAGGGCCAGGCAGATTGAAGCAGAGGTGCAAGGTCACCTGGCACTCCCAGCTTTGAATCCAGTTCCCTCTGCTCGCTCACCATTATCGAAAGACAGGGCATAGGTTTTGTCAAGAGCAAACCTTGTATGGCAGGCTGAACCTTTAGAGTTTGGAATACAGCAACACTGAAAACGTGTGACTCTGCCTTCAGGTGAGTACACGTGTTGTAGGCTGAACTTTGACCACAGCCGCTACCTAAACTCTAGCACTCTCATGCTGGTGAATCTCTCTATGTATAATTCAGTCTCTATCTGTCCAAGATGTTACTGGTTATAAAAATTCAAGTTCAGCTGTTGAAAGCACAGATGAAGAGTGGATGAGTCCATCTACCTGAACATTTTAAAACTGAGCTTAAGTGAGCCTTATACAGTATGCATATGATGAGAATTCCCTTCCTCCTGTTCAAACGTTGGTTATTGCCTTTCGTTGGATGTCCAAGAAAGACTTTAATTACCCATAGAATGGAAGACATTCATTGGCAAGGTATCATAATGAAAAACTGCCGTGAAGTGAAAAGCAAAACACCAAATTGTTCATTGGTAATAAAAAGCACCATTTTGAGACATTAAACAACAATTAATCACAGGAAACTATGTACTACAATAGACTGAGAACCCTTTTGCTGTGCCATTTGCCAATGGTCGTGTGAATTTATCTTCTCATTCTTCACAATTGTAGCAACATCATCACGGGCTCCTAGGCAATAGCAACAGATCCTGTGCAGCACCCGATACAACTTACGAACATGCAAGGTCATTAAAATGCTCTTAAATCATACAAAATCTACTTTATACTGCTACCAGTGATTCATTTCATGACGCCAAAACATGTTTATCAAACAAACACAACTGGTTAGCGCCACTAACTTATGGTCAGCAGATTTTCTAAAAATATGCATCTGCATACTTAAACACACGCTTATTTAACTCCACCATAAACAAAACCTGAATCGCATATTAACCTCAGAGCTAGGAGATGCCTCCCAGACATAACATTTGATTAATGTTGCTGGAGGCAAAAAATAGCCTAGATTTCCTGTTCCTGAGAGCAACTGTTCCCTCCAATTACTATTTTGCTTTTTAAGCACGGAGTTGTGGGGGTGATGTCAGCCAGGAACTATCACTAACAACATGCCCATCTGGTCCACAGCTTCTGACATCTGGATGTCATTAGAGACAAAAACAACACTGCAACATGTTTACTTCATGCTACCAACAAGAAACACAACTGCTGCAACCTTACGATTGCACCACACACAGGCAATAAGTGAAGTGCCAAAAAAAGGAGAGTAAAGGCAAATGCTCCTTAGAGCAAAAGGCATTTTAAGCAACTGGATCCAGCATCTCCAACTGGTAGTATACAGTGCTCTTTCCACAAATCCCTAAAGCAAAGCAAAGTATTGCTAAAACAAAATTAAAAAAGTATTCTTTGGTTGACCAATGGCCATACCTGGCTCCACAATTTGGTTGAGCTCAAGGGCTAAACCCATGTCACAGTTTACAATCGGTCCAAGAGAGATGATAGGACAGACAGTCGGAATGGCTTCATGTTATTACAGTAAACATGCTGTGATGGAGCTGGCATTTGGCGTCATATTTGGCAAAAACTGTAAGCCTGGCGAAGCTGGGAAAGAAACCAGTGTTTTTTGCATTTACAATACTATATTCAAATAAGAAAATAATCTAAATGAAAAGGAGCACTAAGCAGTTGCCAATTCGCTGGACTTTAATGTGCTGAATGCATCATAACCCTCTCATGTAGCCCTGTCAGTACTGATGGATCATATTAATATGAATTAATATATCATATTAAGTTAATGTGTATTTACTCATTACATAGAGAGTTCCTTCTCATCATGATGCTTATTTACCTAATAGGGGTTTGAAAACTATTACATTTTCTACTTAAAATAAAAGGGTATTTGTATTGGCACACCATTTGCAAACACTGTACAATCATGGCATGACATTTTCATGGAAAGTTATAGAATATTTTTTCGCCAGTTTAAATATCACCTTTAAAAGCTCTTCCTGTGAGCTACATATTCACTACTCATAGCCAACTTTTTAAGCTATAGACAGAAAAAATCTTTTTTTTTTCCTCCAGTGTCATTTTGGTTAACCAAAACTCTAAAAAGATCCAATGTCTGGACATTATGAAGCAGTGCATTTCTACCACAGTTAAATTAAAAAAATGCACCGATGTAGCCATTAAATACCAAGCTACTGACCACACATCCTTTGAGTCGGTTCTGCTCTTCTTTAACCTCTTTTCCCATGATCCTGTGCACCTCTGTTCCCACGCTGCATTGTGGCCCCCTGGTAGGGGTCAGGGGGTCGCCATCTTCCCTGGTGAAAACTAAGCAGGAGGACTGCAACCCTGCTTTCTCATTCCTGTGGCAAGAAAATGATCAGAACATGGACATGATCCTAGATTTACATTTCACAACACCCCAAATATACTACACAGAAGTGTTTGTATCCTTTAATCGAAATATCATTCAGCTTCTGTAAGAAGTAGAAAAATAGGACTGCTCACTGAACATGAATCATAGTCCTTTTAACAACACAGACATCAGTGGATGTCATTATTTACAATAATAAACTTAATAAAAAAGTGTAAAAACACCTGCATTTCAAAATGTGTTAAGTATAGCAATTATACAGCACGTGCATTTAATAATAAATAATAAATTACAAAACTGAAACATACTCCTGATTATTCCCTTTCAGATGGAAGATATGTCCATTTAAGGAGTGTACACTTTTTAAAATTGTACAGTATCTCAATAACTAAATTCCCGATAAATGAAAAGTGGAACACACAGATCACCGAATATACAGTAACACAAACAAGATAGGTTTTCTTGAAAAACCGTTGTCACTAATTGAAAATGATGACTAAATTAGGAGAAAATTCTGAGGCTGATTTCAGAGTGTTTCTAAAATGTACAAAAAACAAAATAACTGCTAATTTTGTAAAACTCAAATTCGGTAAGAAGCAGAGTGAAGCCATGATAATTGAAACAATCTGGTCTGATAACAAGATCAAGATGACTTAATTCATGTTTGATCCTTTTAGTTAATCGCCTCCTACGCACAGCTTCTTTTACAGAGTATAAAAAAGCAAAAACAGATAACAATGGATAGAAATGGACAACAGAGGTGAAAATGAGTGGAACTTATGTGGTAGTGCATTTAAAATTGGGAACAAGAGGCACGTCTTTACCCAGAGCTTTATGGGATTATACAGTAAAACAAGCTACCCAGCCATGCGGTAGAAGCTGATACGCTGGCTTCTTTCAAGACATCCCTGAATGAGATCCTGGGCTCAATCAGCTAATCACTACCAAATGAGCTAGTTGGGCCAAATATGAGAGCCTACTGTAAGTTAGCCATAGCTGCTATGTTTATAAACGTATGCTACTGCATTCTGGAAAGTTGAACACACAGTTACGGTATATGGTTGGAAAGCATAATTTTGAAAACTTAATTCTGTGCATGCTTAAATGAGTTCATTATCTGCCAGTTTAGAAAGATACTGTATACCACATATCACTCCAGAATTAGGATTTTACAATCCATTTTTTTAAAGAAAAATTCTTAAAGAATGATTACTCTGACAGCATTGAAATGGCTCTACAACAAAGGAAGAGACAAATTATTGCAAAGACTGTATGTTCCCCATCACCAAGAAGCAGAATTCTTTCACAAGGGAAGTCTGGGAAAGGTTTCAGGAAATCCCATAACCAAGATTAATTAGATAAATCCAATAACATTTCATTTCTGAAATTCACAGAGTAACTAATCACACATGGCTAACGTCCTAATCCTGGTTTGGTTGCTAGGAAACTGTTTATTTGTTTAGTGTGTAAAAGCTCTATTGCACAAGAATAACATCCATTTTTATTATACAGTCAACATTTCAGAATTAACTGGCGTTGTTTTTGTGTTAGGAATATTAACTGTTTACCAAGCAAAGTAAAATAGTCCAGGTGTCACACTCAATTTCCCATGCATCTACCTTCTGTGCAACACAAATCGGTGTGGAAAGCAGTTCTAATTAAGCATGCGAAACAAAATAACACAGATTACTCATCTGTTACAATGATTTACCCTAAGTTAAGTTTGAGACGTGCGGTCTGTTTTTCTTTCCAGGTGACCTTTAAAATATCTAACCAAACAAATTGTTTACTTAATCAAGCGCCTAAGCATCTTTTTCAGCTTATTCAATCCAAAGTATAGTATATAGAAAATGTGCAAGACTGCAGCAGTCATTGGCTTGAAACCTGGAAAAAAAAGTCAGATCCAACAAATTAATAAAAATTGATCAGTCCAAGGGCTACAGTGAAGCAAGCCAGAAAATTCTGCAACCCTCAAGGTCTGGACTTTCAGATCTCCAGACTGCAGCAGGTGTCTGATAAATATGAAAACGCAGAGGCATATAATACAAAAACGATCCCATACAGCCTTGGGGCAGGCTCACTCTCTAGTCTAGGAATCAGAATGTACCAATGTTATTGTCCCTTTGATAAAGGTATTCGAAAGCGTCATATGGGTATTTTCTGCCTGTGTGGACTGTTACACTAAAAACATACAGAAAATAAAATGAGGGTTGCTCCACATTTCTGGACACTACAATGCCCCATTAGGACAGAAATTCCTCAAGGCCTGGCGTGAACACCGCAGGGCCCTCATGTAACTTGGCAACCACGTAGGAACGCCTGTACCTCACAGCCTTCTGGAGCAAGGCCCAGCCATCCTTCACCTCACCCTGCTTCTGGGTCACTCCGGTTGCCAAGGCCGGGTGGAGATTTGACAGCTGAGAAGCAGTGACATCCAGCATCTGAGGGAGTGGGGAGGTGGGGTAGGAGGGGAGGAAGGAAATTACTCAGTGCGTTTGGACTAGTTTTACGTGCTGGGAACAAGATATGCTTTATTCTCTTAAACATTGGAGTCAAACATCGATATTCTGAAGATGGAAAATAATCATTTCGCATATTCACAGAGGTGTCTTGTGCTGTAGGAAAACCCACAGAGCACGGATCGGGTTCTGTTTCTCTTATTAGGATTTACCATGCTCCAGTGAGTACGCAAACAGATTGTTTCTGCATCTCCCCATGATCCTACTGTCAGTCACTTGTTAAATAGTTGTGCATATGCACAGGACTGTCTCTCTGGCTCATGTATTTAGTAGCTGTGTGCGACCGGTTTGGGAATGTTATGTATTAAATTTTCCCAAATGACAGAATAGGAAGTTCCTGAGTTCCCTTTTTCACCATTAACTACAAAATCCATTGTGGGCCTCTACAGTAAATACCCTTATATGGTTTTATAACGTGTTCTCTTAAAACACTCAAATTGAATTTTGCAGTGATTTTAACAAACACCTCGAAATGACTGTGTTTGTTTCGTTTTCTCATCATGGGTGTCTTTCTTTTCATGCCATTTGTTTTGTCACACACAGGCTCCGTTTGTGTTTGCGACACTGTTATGCTCGTGTTTTCGGGTGACTGCGTCACGGCACTGAGGTGTCTTGGCAGTGTTTGCCATTCTCTGGCAGTTCCCAGACATGCACAAAAAAGAGCAGACGTCCGTGAAACCTGTCTGTCTCAGTCCCTGGTGTTCTGCTGTGTGACACCATTGTGAAAGGTTGTTTTAAGAAAGTCAGTGCGGAGGGTACAGTGTTAATTTTTTAGCCATTTCACTGGTACTCACCATAATGTGACTGGCTATGTCCCTTATCTCTCTGTCTGTACTGTTTTCTTGGTCACTTGAAGATGATATGCTTTTCCTCTGTGGAAAGAAAAGAAAGGATAGAAAGAAACTGACATTAATTTAAAAGGCCCTTGCGGGAAAAAAAGTGTCTTGTACTATTACAGACGGACAAAACATAATTACTCCAATGCCACAGTGTTTTCATATCCTGTATTATTATCTTTGGGTGTTTGAAAGCCTAAAACAATTTTAAAGCAGTGTAAATTCTACACACAGTACAACAAATGGAAACATCTGTTTACATTAAAAGCTTTGTATCTGTTTACAGATAAAAAATAACAACTCTTTAATTAATTGCATTATCTTTAATTAATTTGCATACACATATTCATTAAAATCAATTAAACATTGATTAGAATTGGAATCCAAGGAGAGGCTGTGTAATAAAAGGAAGATTGAGAACAATAATAGTTTTATTTCTAAGTCCATTAAGTCCAGACTTCAGTTACTCAGTGTTAACTTTCTCTAGATTGTGTAGGAGAGTCTCAGTCAAGGCTTATTTGCCCCAAATGGAAGGTTCCATGATTTAATTTCAAACAGAATTAATTTAGTTATTAAACTGTGGTTTCGTTGTGTGTTTGAAAACCAACCATTTGTTCACAGAATGTTGCATCGTCTTACACAACCAAGCCTTGTTTATTTTACAGCATTCCAGTACATAAAAACATACTGTACTTTTACCCTGTCGCACCGGACTGTGATTTACCTCCAGGGTTTGTAGAGATCAGTGCCTGACAGAATAAAGGATACCACTAATCTGAAATAGAGCTCCGACATTGCGCTCACCTTATTGTTAATGGCTCTGATGACGTTGTCTGCCTGTTGGTAAAATGAAGAGAGTTCCAAAGCCAGCTGCAGCTTTTCATGAAAGTCTTTCAGAAGTGTCTGGACTTTGAGCCACCTGCAGCAGAGGTAGCTGAGATTAGATGGAAATTCACAGGCGATCCAGGGAAGTGGGAGAGGTACTCTGTGTCTGGCTTTGAGAGTGAATAATTCTTTCATTATGCATCTACATTTTTTGTCGGCTTAGGTAAACTGACTTCAGTGTATGGAATCCATCGCAGTTTAAGACATTTACATTTTTTAGCACATTGCTCTCTGAGATGTAATGTAACTCGTTCAGTGTTCACTATTACTTGTCACCAGCAAGCCCAGCAATGGATTGAATCTGTAACGTGCGGTACATACATTTTGTTGATATGTTTCCTCCTCGCCGAGATGTTCTTGCTTTCATTCTTTCCTAGTTTTTCTAATTTGAGAGCCAGGCTGTTGATCTCTTCATGAAGGGTCCTATACAGCTGCTCGTCCTATGTAAACATGACAAAGAGAAATGTAGCTCCTAATAAAACCCAGCTCCTCTCGATCGTCAGGTGAAAACGTGACCATGAAGTAGGCCAAAAAAAAAATCAACAACCACAAAAAACATTTTTTAAAAGAAAGCTTACTTATTCATATTCAGGTAGAGTTCTCCTAAAATGAAAGTAATAACCTCCACAGACGTGATAAGACCTGCTGTATCTCCCAATGTAAAGCTAATTAGAAAAGCCCACCTGTTTAAGATCCAGTATTTTTCTCGTCAGCTGCAGTTTGTCAATATTCTGCCCAAGTACCTTTGCTAGGGATTGGTCCTCTTCCTGCTGGTGCAAAACAAAATGAACTGTTATAGTGGCTGGTTGGTTTTAAAAGGAACATTATTTTATTTGATATCTACAGTAAAACAGATCCTTCAGCTTTTCTGCTTTGGGTTCACTAAAATGAAACCTACCCAAAGTCTGTAATAAATATACCTAATGCTACTATTAATTAGAAATGTTCAAAAGCGCAGTTTCGGGCTTGCAGATAAACCTGTCAGAGCAGATTGGTCCTACAATAGTGTCATCTGTTAAGCACGCACGTCTTATTTTCATGTAGATCTGTTTATCTGGGATTTTCTCCTACTGACTGTAGAACATCACTTGATTTTGATTTTGTTTTATTTTTAAAACAAATTATAGTGTAGTGTTTTAGATCAAGTATCAATTAATTAAAAACAATAACCTTATAAATTTATATCATCTTGATATAAAAAAGAATAGTATTGTAATAAAAGATTTTGGTTTATTCTTTTGAAGATCTCCTTTAAACGGATTTAGAGTCTCAGCTTGAAATAGGCACAGGGTATTGCGTTATTGTGATCTGCATGTTAGTCCTTTTGTTTAAGTTTTACATCAAATGTAAAATTTTCATGCACGGCAAATTATTAAAAATGATAATGACAATAATAAGGTATCATTTTTTTCATTTTAAAACTGGTAAACTATTATTTTCCATTTTAATTGCATTACTTCAAGTAATCAAAAAAATTTGCTGCTTGACCAAATCTTGTCAAAGCTGTCCTATATAAAACTGAAATATCCCACTGCAAAATGTAGACTGACAAAATTACATAATAGCATTTATGAATCCCATTGAGGAAGACTGTCCAGGAGTTTAGCTGAGTATTACAGGCAAACATCTGTTCTGAGTGGAGAAATCAGAACTGGTACACAGAGCTTTATGTTAACAGAGAAACTTTCACATAAACAGTGAGTAATGTTCCGCAGATGTATTAGCAACTCCACTCTGTACGTGTAAGCTGGGAAAATGTTCTGCAGCATCCCATGAAATCTGTCCTGAAAACCTGTCTCATTTCATCAAAGAAACATGTCAATGGCTCAGAGAAAGTATTGTGCAGTACCCTGAGGTCTACGAGGAATTCTAGGTTGATGTTCAGCACATTTTGCTTTTTTGACAGCTTGCATGTAAAAGAACCTGAAAACGTTCTGTCATTGTTTACTGCACCTTACTAAGCTCTGTTGTATTGAGAGAGTTTTTTTTATCAACACCATTACAATAAGAACTCCTGGAGCTGAAAGCAATATTGTGAGCAGGAATTAAGATACCTTTGCCTTAATCCAAACTTCAAGCTTATCAACTTTTCTGTTAAACTCTTGCAAATTTCTTGCTCCACTGAGGGCTTTTGACTGATTTCCAGCTGTTTGCCTGAGCAGTTGCCACTGATCCTTGAGTTGGCTGAGCTGTTTCTTCACCTGGTCTGCCGTGGGATTCTGTCTGCAGATGAGCTGCTCCCCCATCTGAAAGGCCATGGAAGAGAGTGTGTTAAAAACAGGGTAGCTTCTCGTGCTCCAACTTTCAGATCTCATTATTTTAAAGGGTGCTTTCTCCTACCAGGCAATGACAAGGGTCCACTGATTTCTATTGTGACTGACTCTGAAATGCCAGCAGCCATATCACCCGGCAGTTCACAGCTGGCAGCCAACTGGAGCGCAGCAGGTGTGAGCCTGGTCAGTACCTGGATGGGAGACCTCCTGGGAAAAACTAAGGCTGCTGCTGGAAGAGGTGTTAGTGGGGCCAGCAGGGGGCACTCACCCTGCAGTCTGTGTGGGTCCTAATGCCCCAGTATAGTGACGGGGACGCTGTACTGTACAAAGGCGCCATCCTTCGGATGAGATGTAAAACTGAGGTCCTGACTCTCTGTGGTCTTTAAAAATCCCAGGGCGTTTCTCGAAAAGAGTAGGGTTGTAACCCCAGCGTCCTGGCCAAATTTCCCATTGGCCCTTACCAATCATTGGCCTTTAGGAATCAGTGAGTTTCTTACATGGACACAGGAACGAGAGAGGTTATTGCCCCCGATGTAATGAATATGTGCTAGTCTGTGGCATGCTATTGTCTGTTTAGTTATGCAGTGATTGTCACGAGCGCAGCTGGCCCCAATTAGCTCCCATTACCCAATTACCACACCACACCCCTTCCCTCACTACTTAACCCCTCTGCTCACCCTGTTCATGCTCGCTATTAGGAATCTTTCCACCTCCTGAGCTCTCGTTATGACAACCTTCAGACCCCGCCTCTCGGACCCCTTTCCAGCTTGTACCTTTCGACCCTCTCGGATTCGTTTGCCTAGCTCTCCTCTCTGGACACGACTACACCTGGACCTCTCGACTACTCTCCCACCTCGCCCTTCTCGGACCTGTTCCCCTCGGACTCCATCAGAGACCTGCACAGCGTTCGTTATACTCGCTGTAACGGTGATGTTCTGCTTCTAAGAGGGGAATACTCTTGGCTGGTTCCCCATACTTAGTTTCAGTAGAAATAAAACTCAAAGTTAATGGTTTAGCATGACTAAATAAATACTGCAACACAATTCCATATCACATATGACGCATAACAATAACATGACGTTCATTTCATGTCTGCAGTCTTGCCAATGGTTGCAAATAAAATCCTTACCGCAATGTAATATGTTAAGTGCTAGATCATGCATATTGTGCATATCATGTCTTTCAGTCTGTATCCCCTCTTCATTTTAAATTTATTTCACGGAGGCTGAGAACTTGAATTTTTTCACATGAAAAAGAAAACAGGCTTATGTAAACATTTGTAAGTCGGAAACTTTGTCAAGTGAAGACGTTTGTTTTCCTATCCCTGAAAAGCAAAGCAGCCATGGTGGGATCTCAAACCACTGTAAGACAGAGGCTCCTGCGAAGTCACCTGGTTTAGCTGTATCAGGGTGTTTTCAAAGTCTTTCAGGTCCCTCTGCAAGGTCTGTGCAACTTCCTCCCAGTCCTGTAGGGGGCACCTCTGCACACTGCAGCCATCCTTCAAATCTCGAAGCTTCCCCTTGATCCATGCCTCAGCCTAGAGCAAGATTGAACATGTGAAATGTGAGACTGGCAGGTGTCTCCCAAAGAAAAAGACTTGAAGAACTTTAGAACAGTTACAAACGAGAGGAGGCCATTCAGCTCATCTAGACCACTTGCTAGTTAGAAGCTAATCGACCCCCAAGGATGCAGCTGTTTCCTGAACCCAGCTGTTGCTTCATCAGCATGGCTGGGTAGCTCGTCCACCATCCCACCACCCTCTGGGTAACAGAGTGCCTACTGTTCTCAGTTTTCAAAGCACTTCCATGTTGTTTCCGTAGGTGTCCCCTGGTTCCTGTGTCACTGCTCATGCTGAAGAAATCCAGGGCATTGACTTGCCTGTGTTTGTGGGGATTTTGAAGACTTGGATCAATTCTGTTTTGAAGACTAAATAATGCTGTCATTGCAGGTATATAGTTAATCTATTATCATTGTAAAAAGACTTAACATCACTTGGAACTATTATCTGTTACTTGTGTTATTCTGTAAATATATATATATATGTGGGTGTTAATTCTAGGAGAATTATCAAAGGCTGATGGTTAGATACTTATATAGTTATATATATATAATATGTTACTACTTAGGCTTTAAAATAATTTCCCTATGGACATTTAACTGATTCTACAGAAGACAGGCCGGTCTGTGTACAGTATGTCCTCGGGGACTGCTCTACGCTTATGTCTGCAAAATGAATGCCTTCGTCACACTACATTACATCAGGGTTAAGAACTCAGGGAAGCCAAGGAATGTGTTTCTGTGAAGTTTAAAATAGTTTTTTTTTATCAGAGGTTGTATCACGTTCTGTTTTCCTTGCCTGTAGGAAAGTCTCTTCCAGTATTTCAGCCACTGGGGACTTGAATATGTTCTAGAGTGTACAAAACGTCAAGCAAACAATAACACAAGAGACGTGAGCCAAACATAGAATCTCATTGTCGCATTGTATCCAGAACTAGGCTGGCCATCAATCATCTTTCCTGCCACTTCATTTACCCTCTTTAACCATTTCAAAATATATTGTCTGGAACTTGTTCTCCATTTTCCAAAGCCGTGTTCTATGTACTGCTCAAAGCCTTGAGGCTTTTTTGGCAAGTGCAGTGAAGGGCTGCTTTTCTCAGTGTTCATATTTATGGCTAGCTGAGCAAAGGCATGGCTGAGGTTCAAAACCTGCTTAGAAAGAAGAGACGTTTATGGATACAAACGTGCTGCGTCTGACAGCATTGCTTTCTTGTCAGGGACAGCAAGCCGTAGGTTTCGAAGGCCATAAATGATCCAGATAAAAATTATGTCAAGCCCAACTCAATCTATTTCTACATTTATGATATGGGATTTCATACAATGTATATTTGTTTGTACGGTATAGTAAATGATCATTCGGGGAAGATGATCATTTCCTTAAAAGATAAGTTGTATGAGTCCTGCCCAATAACAGGTGTGGCAGCATGGTTTGAAGTCTTGTGTCATGGTAAAATGAAAGGTTCTGAGGGAGGAATCCCATCTGAACATGACAATAAAACAGATTTACTTTGGGTTCATGTAGAGCCAAGCCTAACCGCAGCTCTGTGGCACTGCAGCCAAACGAATAAGGCTTTTAATTATGCTCTTGCTGTGCCTTTAAAAGATAGCTTCTGAGTTTGGAGTGTGAGATCCCACACCCTCCAAACAAACAAACACTACACACCACACACTGCTTACCATAACCCTTGGCAGCAACACATAGCTATTTGCAAGAAATTAAAATATGATCTCATTTATTTTCTTCTGAGCATAAAACAGCTATAAATTTTAAGAGCTCCCAAATGCATTGAAGCACTTTTTATTTAGAAAAAAAATCCCTTGTATAAACAAATCTCTCATATCTCCACACCCCAGGTCCAATTACAATTGTGTTTCTTTTACAATAATGACATCATAGAGGAAGTGCTTGATGCTAATGTTTCTTCCTCTTTCTCAAAACAATGGCCTGTTTACCAAAAATATGGGGCACTTTACATTTTTGACATCTCATGGTGGAGCAGCGTGGTGATAGCTAAGTTTCAGAGCACTGTGGATGTGTTGTCATGTGGCCATCAGCAAACACGGTTCAGTCAAAACAGACACCAGTCCTGGTCCTGCTTTTAAGTTGTATGAAGGGAGAGGGTTCTGCAGATCACCTCTCATTGTGTTCTGTGAGACAAAAAAGATCTGACCCCTTAAAAAAAAAACTCCTAGCACAAAGGACTCCACTAATAGAATAACACTCATGTGCCAGGGGATTTTGAAAGAGCAGCTCAGGAAAGCTTTGTCTCACTAACAAAGGTAACAAGTTTTAACTTGTTAACTTTGTTGGCTAACTTGGGTGCAATCATTTTTTGAGCTGTTTCTCTTCTTTGCACGGTTATTCTAAAGTTCAATCCTTTATGAAAGGGTCTCGGAAAAGAAATTGTTTACTTATAGAACGTTATGAATGTTATGTTATGAATGTTATGAATACCTATGATAAAGATAGTACATGAGATGTTTGTATTGTTGTAATTGCTACAGACACTGCATAAGTTAATATTTGTTTTATCAGAACGATCAAATTTTAGGCTTATTCTGCTTATTCTCATTAAGTCGAATGACTCCTTTGACTTTCATAGCAGCTTCTTTCTGTGGAAAATCAGAAACTTTACTAGAAGCACCATTTTGGTTTGTTCTGTGACCAGAACTATTAAAATTTGCGCCCCACTTATAATGTGTACCTCAAACAAGAGAAACAATTTCAGTAGCCATACTGTAGAGTACTCAAAACTCCAACACTGTGATTTGCAGTAGCTGTAACTCAGTACATAATGTATACGGGTCACCACAGCCCTAACACCAATTTCACAGACTGTGACCGACTCAAGCCATAAAGCAGGAGTCACCATTCTGTAAGTGATCAGAGCTGCAACACATTTAGAAACCTTAACCTGGGTGTCACATTTGGAAATAGCAGCACCCAAGAATTAGGTGATCTTGAGGATGTTTATTGAGACTTATGAAATGTGAGATCTGATTTAACCCTCTAAGCTGAGGGACAGCCCCCTGGCCATAGGAGGAGGAGGGGGCTGGGACCCCCAGGAAGAGTGAGGGGGAAGGGGCAAGGTGCAGCTGCACAGGTAAGAGATGGGGGGGGAGGAGGAGGGATGCAGGAGACAAAACGAGAAAAGAGAGGGATTCGTGTTTGATTTATCCACGCAGCATCGCGCAGTGTTGGCAGGAAGGATTATAATTTAGAACAGCTGTGACAAAAGGGACTTGTTTGTCATCCTCCCTCCCAGAGTTCTGTTAAGAATGTCCATTCACAGTTTTAGATTTCAGAGGGGTTTTTTTTTTCAACAGAGGAAATGTGAAATAGACTTAAAAGAGAAATCTGTCCTTTTCAAGAGAGAGGTCATTTTGCGGAAGGTGATGGTCATTGGCGTTCTTGTTTTGGAATATTTTTTAATAAAGCTTCAATAGCACGTTTCTTATTAGTTACCCCAGCAGACTGTGAAGCAAATTCTTCCGGTTTCCTACAGCAGTAATAGAAGACACACACGAAGTACATATATCAGTAGCTATGATATCCATCCATTTTCTGTCCTGTTAAATGTAGCACTACAAAAGGATCCCCAAAACCAAATCACTCAGCATGCTAACCAACACCACTTCAGCCTTTTAATATTTATGATGTGCTACGAAACCGGTCTCAGCACACATCATGTTCTTTCTGAGTATATGAAATAAAGGGGCCACTTTTCCCTCCTTTATTATTATTATCATAAATTTTCTCCCACTCTGGTTGTCCATTTAAAAAAAATGTCTCAGCCAACAGCTGGAAGCATTGTCCCTGGGCCGAACTCACTGAAAAATGTCCTTGTATTTTCTAGTCGGTGCTGAGATGAGATAACGTAAGCCCTTTGCAGCACAGGCTGGTCTCTATGGGCCACAGGCGAGAAGACATGGAGCCAAACAATGATCTCACCCTTGAATAATTGCTCCTCTTGTGACTGTAACTCTCCCTCCCACTCCCCTTGCTGCTCGCATGCTCAGCGCAAAAAAACGAACCCTTTCTCCAGGGTCAGGGGACAGAGACGGGCTGTTTCCATGCGGATTTGAAGCTTTCAGTCACTTTTCCAAAAGCATTCATGTTGGGTTTAGCACTAGCTTTGCTCTCTCTTGCAAGACCAGGTACTCCAGGACAGAACTGCAGAGTAATTGGTTTACCATTGTGTTTCCACTTAAAAACAAAGGACTATGAAGCCTGTAATGGGTTATTCCTTTTATAGTCTTTCCAAATCTTTCTTTGGATTTCTTTGTCGATGGCCACATGGCAAAACTGGTGATTTTCGGAACTGATAAAAATACATAATTTTCCAGAGCAATTCCTGGTTCTTTAGAGGAAATCTAAAGTGTTTTTTATAACTTTTTTGTGTTTCTTGTACGGAGGGTTAAGGTAGCACAAAGGAGTTTGGTACTGTGTTTTAATACAGTAGAGCACATTTGAACAGACCTTCTAATTTCATAATTTCAGTGGGGACTAATGATGTCTTTTGAGTTCTTTTGCATGGGAAGTTGTAATTGCTGGAATTGTAGTCACTGATTTACAGGGAAATTATAGCTGAAACAAAGACATTTTAAACTTATTATTCATTCAAATGCCCAAAACAAGACTTAAATAACATATATTATGTAGGACTTAGTAATCATGCAAGTGCATTTACTATTCATGCTATCAGCCGTTTTAATTAAATAGTTCAGGTGGGTAGCTGCGTCAGCATCAGTAGGGTGCAAAGGAGCAAGTAATAGGTTATAGGTGAGCTCACACCTGAAGAAGGCTCCAAGGCCGAAACGCTGTGTTTTCTTTCTTCTTTTTTTCAGCATGGAATAAACCTATTACTTGTTCCTTTGCATTTTAATGAAATGTTTCTTTGATATGAAGATTGGTTTTCAACATAATCAGTTGTACCGCATCTCATACAGATATAAAGGGTAGTTTACAGCAACAGTTAATGTCTCTAAACATATACTGTAATTTTAATTTTAACATACCTGTACCACTTTAACACTAACACTACTGAAATCTTTAAGATAAAGGACTGGGCCAGTTTAGCACATGACACAGATCATCTGAAGAGCTGTATAACTACAGTATAATGTATCCAAGTGTGATACGATATTAATGCTATGCTATTATGCATAGTAATAAAATGTTATATTTCTTGAGTACATTGTAAGCAAAGTCAAATTAAAACCAAAAGTAATACCCCATAGAAGAAGAAAGTAGGCACAACATTATATTTCAATGGTGATTTTCTGTTCAAGCGCAGTAAGAACAGTGATGCTTGACCTCATTGGTTCACAGTCAAAGGCCACAGTACCTGCAATATCTCCCTGTTGAACTGTGCATTGAGCTGTGTGAGACTGCATTCACTCCGCTGTGTGTGGACTCTCTCAGAGCTGGGTGTTTCCACATGCCCATAAGACTGGATCTCCATTTTCAGTGACTCTTTTCTGGGCAACACGGCCCTTGGTTCAGCATTCTGTAAGAAAAGTGAGTCATTAATAATGAACAAGTTGTGTACTTTTCATCTTCTAGATAGTAATTATTGTTATGAAACAAACTCCAATGCCTTCTTCCCAAGCCTTTGGATTTTAAGAGCCCCATTGGGATTATGAAGTTGGATGCTGGAGAGTTATGGAGACTTTGGAAAATCCATTTTGTCCAGTTCCCTTCAGCAATTCAGCCCAAATCACGCATCAGCTTTTTATAATGCACATTTTGGCTCCTAAACCCTGACTCTAGTGAACTACAGAACATTCATTTTACTGTGTTTTTATTATGTCAGGGCCTGAAATGAATGAAATGTTCTGGAGAAGTGTTCTTATCAACTGTTGACTCTTTTTGGTAACAAGACTGGAGTGTGTGTACCAGCTCTGTCTCTCCCTGGACTGGCCCGTGTGGAAGCTGGCTTGCATCCCCTGTAAGAAGACTTCATTTTGAAACTTCTGCTAACTTTATTTATGTACAATATATGCTGTGTTAATCAAATGAACTGGATTATTTTAGGTTCCTTTAACAGAGCTGCCATTAGCACTTGTTTCCCAGTGGAAAACAAACCAAGGAGCGTAGAGGATAACTGAGCTCTTGTGAACATATGGAAGCTTCTCTATGGAGAACACGTGACAGACATTTGGTACTTATTAAATTAAAATGAAGGCGCAAACCTCCGAGTATCGAAACATATAAATTTTCAGGGCTGGCTTTGTGGGCAAACTTAATGACATGAGCCGCCTGTGAAGGAAGGCTGTAGGCAGAAACAACGTCAAAGGCAGAAATGTAAAAACAGCCCCTCGGGAAGCCAGGCTTCAGCACCGAAACCACGGCGACCCGAGCCGCAGACCCACACGGTCGGCTCATTTTGATGAAGTCATCACTGACTAAGGTCCAGCCCACACCGCCTTGTAAATTAGCAGGATTAGTAACCAATTCGAAGATGAAACCACGAAAGTGGTTTCTGGCCTAACGGAGCCCTTGGCGAAGGGATAAACATGATGCCCTCCCAAGTTGGCACCCTTTGCCATTACGCACAGTGTGGAGAAGGACAGTGCCAAATTGCACAAGCATGCACACTTGAAGGAGAATTAAGCAGTGTTTTATTCATCGTATTTCTACGTAGCTTTCTCCGTGGTCCTGGAATAATTCTCCGTAGTGACTAAAAAAGCCAGCTTTATATCTTATGTGGAGATTTTCACATAGCATTGGTAATTACATGTAGCACTCAATCTGAAAGAGGCTCCTCTTAAAAAATAATGTTGCTGATAGTATTTGTTACAAATACGTTTTTGTGGCCTCTGTGTGATTACGATTTTATTCTGCCCTCCACCAGACTAGGCCACCTCCCCCACTGTGAAGAGAGCTTTAATCTCATGTAACTTTGCGGTTTCGAGGAATTAATTACTCACTTGCTGAAAAATCCAATTGCTGTAGTGAATCCCTGTAGCGGAGAGGTGCAGAAGATGTGCTAAATGAGAATTAACCACTCTTGGTCTAGGAGCATATGTGGCACATATGATGACATCCAACCTTATTAAGCGTGTTGTACGGGTTCACTTGTTACCATTAAACAAAAATACATTTTTCTTAATTTTTATACTTCACTCTGAATGACTGTGCATTTAATCTGTCATTGTTACGCACAAAATCAACTTGCATTATATGTACAATATAAGGACAAGAGTTTGCACAATACGAACCAGATGTGCTCGTGTCCTATAATTAAACAAAGCACGTGGGTCTGTGCATTAAAAGTTACAGAAAAGTGAGTCTGATGTGGTCTTCAGTGATGACATTTCTTTCACAGAAAACAAGCTGCAAATGAAATCGGTAGCTCACCAGTGAATCAGGAAAGTGCCCAGCTCAGCCATCACCAGCTTATAGGGAGGGAATGTTAAACTGTCCATTAAACTGTTAATTATACCTTTCATGCAATCAATGGCCCTTACAAACATATGTTAGGCAGCCCTAAGGTCCTATTTAACAAATCTTACTTTCAGCACTATAGGAGATTTTTTTAGGGACAAATTAATAGGGATGATAGAATTTCCTTTCCAGAGTTAGTTTCCCCCTTATTTTTAGTCAGGAAGCATCTGTTCTCTAAAGCGTGATGGGTGAATAGTTCTCTTCAATACGTTTTTTTTTTCAACTGTACAGCATTGAAATTCAGCACAACGGTCCTCAAATATGCTGGTCTTAGCCGGGTACTGTCTGCTTCCCTGACAGCGGAGGCAGTCGGTCCTTGCACAGTTTTAAACTTTCAGATGCAAGAAAAAACATGCTCAGGAATATTTCCCCTGATAAAAGGGAAAAGAAATAATTTTCCTAATGTTTGTTAAAACAGATATTTTCCATCTTCTGTGTTTTGTCAGTACACTCCATGTCATCCGTTGATATAATTCCTGACCTCATGTTTTTCCACTTTAGGGCAAAACACCCTCATGTTCAACTTCGGCACATAGCACAGATTGAAAGACACCCTTTCTTTCACCGATGATTCAAGATCCAGTCTCGGGGAATACTGAGCTAGACTTTTAATCAAATGCAAATGCCTTCTGAAGAGCGGCTTCAGCCACACCACCAAGTATGCATTTAAAAAACCTTCTGTAAAGTATGTCACAGGTGGTCATACCACAGAGCAATTTGATCAAAGGGCAGTCTCGTTTTTAAGTTCTGACCCGCATTACCCCCCAGACCACGGTATAAACTACATCACTGTTCTCCCTCTGTCGAACTGTGTATTCAGGTCCTAAAATAATTGGTTGTTGGGGCTTGGCGGCCATGCAAATGACATCACTTCCTAAATTCCAAGAGACCGTTATCATATGTACAGCTGGTTATAGCTAAACCGGCAGACACTCAGTTTTCATTGTGATTCATGGCGAAATTATACAGTGACTGTTTTCAAAAAGGTGCTTCATCCCCTATTCATGATTTCTTAGGCAATTACAGTATTTAATTAAAAAACAAAGGTTATATGAAGGGCTTTTGAAATGATGAAGATGAAAGGCCCATTTGGGCTCATAAACAGGACCCTAGAACATTTCTAGAATGTTCCAGAGATTCCATATCATTATAAATGAATGAGATATTGCTGCAATTATTTGTATTTACTTTTTGTCACATTAAGGCCTTACTTTTCTAACTTTATATATAAGGCAAATTCCCTAGTGAAACAATTATCTGTTTTATTGCAGTTATTTATGAAGTAGCCCATTTGGAAAAGCCAATGACTGTATTGTTAGAAAAACACTGTTATGTATGTTTTACAACGACACATGGAAACTGGCGGAGATGTAAATCAGGTAAAAATATAAAACAGGTATGGGAAAGGACATTTTTGTGGACTAAGTCAATATGGTAAAAGAAAAGTTACTAAAAAACTGGAAACATTATCTCTTCTGCTGGTTACTTCAGGGGACAAGTCAGCTCTCTGGATCAATTTCCGGTAGTCCATGGTCTTCTACCAGGCCCAAAAAATGGATAAAACTTTCATATTATTTTGATTTAGCTCATGATTCAGTGAATGGGATCTTGAGGGAACCTCATTGTTACAATACGCTTCATTAAAATAAAATAAAACGCAGATGGTCACATCAGCTGTGAACTCCACAAGTGTGCTCGCTCAACAATGGGGATGCTTTTTTTCACTGTCAGACAAGTGGTTGAGAATTGGAAAATGGCATGCTGCAAGAGCAGGGATTCAGACACCAGTCTTTTCAATAGTGAAATACAAATGAAAGAGTTGCTGGCTGTCAGTTTCACAGTAGGATGCAAAACAAAATGTCAGTGTCCGACAGTGTGTATGTTTGGAATAAATACAGCAAAAAAAAAGCTTTATAGGACAGTATAAAAAGTAAAAAAAGTAATGAGACTCCATGAATCCAAGATCTCCTTTCATAGGAAGGACTAGCCCCACCACCTGTTGCTATAAAGGCAGAGCGAAATGGTAACACAGGAGACAGTAACAAACCAGTTTCAAGGATCCATTCTCTGTTATTTTAATCTTCTGGTTGCTGTTATTTAACAGTTGTTCATTCATGTATTGTATTCTCCTCATTATTGATTAGACTGACATTATTATTTAAAACACCCCAAAAGTCTGTTCCTATGTTTCATCTGGGTGGCGCATTATGAAACGGCAATAATATTATTTAAATATTTCATCACATTTGGCACATACTTTTGCCCGTGGTGAAAAAAGCCATTCATTTGAAATATTCAGATCAATTACAGTACGGTACACTGAAATAAGCAGAAAGTAGACTGAAGCACATGAAAAAAACAGCAATTACATACACAGCTAATAGGTGCACGTCAATTAATCAATAAGCAAAACACCTCTGTTGGCTTTATGTGAATTGTATATAAAAGTGCAAACTGTATTTATATTTATTTATTAATTATTCTATTCATATTTTAAAAACACTACTGCTGATTACATTATTTATTCTTAAGCCTATTTGCATACAGTATGCTATACACCAGGGGAAAATAAGTTTTGTTTCTGAAGTCTAATTTTAAAGATCATTTCAGCAGCTTTCAGGATCATAACAATTGCAATTCCTGTCTGTAATAAATACCTGACAGATGCTGGGGGTTTTCTCCTTCAAACTCTGCAATCCACTTGAGCCTCCATTGCTCCTTTCTTTGCTCCCTGTGTCCAAATCTGCTTCTTTTCTAAGGAAAACCTGAAACAGTAAAAATATGACAAGCCTCAACCTCTACGGCGAACAGTAACTATTTCTAAACTGAAATGGTTGCTGCTCTGAAGGAGCCTTTCAAAAAAAGGATCCTGTTTTATTTTGCTCATGGTTTCTAAGTAACACCACAATTCAAATGTTCCAAACGGTATTTAATGTCCGTAGATTCATGCTTTATTAAGTAAAGAGAAAGAAAGGTCACAGAAAGTAAGGGCTGGCTTGTGAGTGAAGGCTTTCTAAATGCGAGAAATTGACTGATCTCATGGCAAATATGGAGCCATAGTTGCAATAAAAGTTCCATGGTGTTTACAATCTACTTATTACTTATTTTTTATTAAGCCTTTAGAAAAGTGAGTGCAACATGAATTTTAAACGTATAAACTGTGTGACGGGAAAATAAATAAAAGGACTTCCTTGTTACTTAATAAGGAACCTTTATTCGAACAGTCTGGCCTCTGTCAAAGGGAAACTAAAAAATGGTAAAAGGCTCTTTAGAGACTACAGAGTAATTACTATTAATTCTCAATTGTGGTAGGGGAAGCATTTAATAATAAGCTGATTACATGTAATATAAATTAAATTGTGGCATCTAAAAATATATACAATGAGGTTATTTTAATTTTATACATCTTTTATTTATAAAAGCTTGCTGCATTGTGTCATGTGTTCTGACTGGAAATAACCAGCCCATCCTAAATGTGCCCTTGTCTTCCACAAAGGAAGACTGGACATGACTTCATCTCCATGTGAAGAATGAAATGCTGTCTGATAATCATCCTTATTCATTCAATTCAGTACAGAGATTCTTACTTGTGTGATTACGTATTGTTACTCTGGAAAACAATTGGAAATCTCTTCTGCAGCGGCAGGCAATGAAGTGTACTGCCTCTTGCAGAGCTCAGCAATGGGCTCTGCAGATTTATCTAATTCACCAGACTTCAGATATTAAGAGGAATCATTCTATATGTGAGCGAGTGTCCCCAAGTCTTTCAATAATTCCAGAATCTCATTGGAGGATGTTTATCTGCTGAAAGTGCAGTTTTTATGCCTTTGGTTGGTCTTCTCTCACAGAAAATATTCTATATTCTCTTTACACTTCCCTCGAATGAGGATGTTTGCTTTTGGATGGAAAGTTGTATTTTCTTTTCAGAATTTTGACAAAATAATAATAATAATAATTCCTGGGCAATTCTGTACTATTTCCTTACTGTAGAAACAATAAGCTAATCTCAAATCACATAATGTGATATAGATATACTGTACTGTATATACAAATTGAATTATAAATGCAACATACTCTAATAGCTTTTCCCAGTTCTTTACAATTTTGGAACAGTAGCAATGAAATTCAATCTGGAGTTCTTACCCCCTTATTTTTTCAAAATGATTTCTTCTTATGTTTTGTTTGATTAAGACACATGGTGCTTGAAGATTACTTTTAAAGCCTTGGTGAAACATCTTCAATAAAGGCATTACATTCTTGAACTTTGTTTCACTGTGTTTTTACAGTATGTCTAAACCATATTATATGAGCTGTGAGTGTTTTTTTTAACTGTAGTATTCCGTTGCAGTAGTATTCTGTCTCCGTTGTATGTACTGTACTATATTTCTCTAACACCTTTCAGGTTACTCAAAATGTTTTCCCGGGGAAGATAGTTCTACAGGCAGCCCAACTCGGCTGCTATTTGTTCTGCCTGCAGTATTTTGCAAAGTATCCAAGTTAACAAGTTTGTGTGACAATTTCAGCTGTTTAGTGATGCTGTTTAGATTAAACATATTTTGATCTAAGGAATACTGGGAAAAATCTACATAAATTTTATATGGTAATTTTGAAAGGTATGAAACATCTCTGCATGAATGAATGCCCTGTAGGTCACCAATATTTTTGATGATATAAACACTGGACCTTTAACTTTCTCGGGCTAGTACAGCATGGCAGCTGGTGATGTCAGTGCACAGTCCTGAAGTTTTTCTTTCGACGTGAAATGGATTAAAAGCGACCTCGCTCAAGGGAAACTGTACTCTTGGGGAATAGATTTTAGTGGAGAAAATACATCCAGCCGATACCTTAAACAAGCAACAAATTAGTGCCCCACATGTGGGCTGACAATTACACGTGTCTAACCATGAAAAATAGTACCACCTGGGATCTGGTCAGGAATTAACACTGAGTCAGATTGCCCTGCGGATTGTTTCTCTCCCCTGCTTCAGCAAGTAGCTGGCCTCCACCATGTTTAATCTATTAAGAAGTATAGTTTCTTACTTGTTCCAGTCATTGTTTCCATCAGGCTTAACTTCATGAGGCCAGTGCAGTGGGACACTTGTGTCTTGAGAGGTGAACATGGATTAATCTTCTTTTAACAAGATCTGACTGTGCAAGATACTACTGGTTGGCAATATATAGTATGTTCTCCAAACTAGAAATGTTAAAATGGCAGTGTGAGGATTTCTTAACGTGTGTTTTAAAAGAACACAACACAAATCTGGAACATGTCAGAAGAACAACAAGTGTATAAAAATATATCAAATTTACAGCTGTGCATACAAATGAAGTGCAAAAGGCTTCTATTACTGCATTTTTATACTGTTGCTTGTTTGCAATAAAAGTTCCATTCAAGAATGATCAAATTCATGACGGCTGTTATTACCCTGTCAAGCACAGAGAGAGTTCCCAGATCTCCAGAATCCTGACAGGGGTGTAACGGCTCCATATCAAATTGCTATTTGTGTTGTGCTTTTCATATGCTAATTCCTTTAGTTTGATATTGATAGATATTTTTAAAGAAAGCCAAAAAAAGCTATACATACGTACACAGGTAATGTTTCAAATATTCCCTCATTCTTGGTCATACAGTTGCCTGTTGAGGATTCTTGAATTGATCATATATAAATATTAATTATTCTATGATTCCTGAACCGCAAACTGATGTCAGAAAATAGAATCGTTTTCTTTACCTTGAACTGGGAATTGGGCTTATTCTCACACGACACCCCAACAATCCTGGGCAAGGGCTTGAAGGCAATGTTGTTGTTGTTGTTGTTGATGTTCTCTGTTTTGGAGACTGGTGCTACCTTGGAACAGTGTGCTACTGTGGCCCCCCTGTCTCCGGGAGCTTCAGTGCTGCCAGAGATGGTGATCTTTTTGATGGATCTGGAGGCAGAGGTGGGAGAGACAGCGTTCCTGTTGAGGTGGTCTTCCTCAACCATCTCCTCTGGGCGCCTCTCCACTTGCATCACCCTGGCCGCCACGGGTGAGAATTGCGAGGCGCTGGGGTGCATCTGAGACTGTCCGAGGTAGAGGGACACCTGGTCGTTCAAATTGTGCTGCATTTTACAGTTATCCAGGGTCTGGCTTGGCAGGTAAGATTCCGCGAAATCTGGGCATTTCGGCACAGAGGGGACCGAGAGCTTGGTCCCAATTGTGAAAGGCTGGATTTTCCTGACGATGCTTTCCGACATGGTTTCTAAATCAGCTTTGTAAAAATCTTCAGTGTCTCTCTCACAGCTCAATGAAAGACAAAAAAAATAATGTTGATAAATGGGAGGGAGGGGGGGGGGTGCAGAAAATCAGTTATCCACTTTCTTGTGCATGTTGAGAATGCAGAGGACGCAGGAAAGGATAGCCTCCCGTGACTCCTGAGATCGGATGCGGTCCCAGATGTGGCGCAACAGGGAGCCGATGTGAGAAGCAGTGGCAGAGAGGCTTCTCCTGAGGAACTGCGCTGCAGAGCCTGCTAATTTGCTACTAAGCAGCCTGATAAGCAGGGAGCGGAGCAAGAGGAAAAAGGCTGGCATGCTGCCTGACTGTGTCGTGTAAAAAAAAAAAAGAAAAAATAGGGGAAGAGGGGGGAGTGTGTAAAGAGGAGTGAAGTCACCGCTTTCTGTCAGAGCATGTGCAAAAAGCCTGAAGAAAAGGAGGCTGTAAACTCTGGCTGTCAAAACTTCCTTTTAAAAATAATAAAAAAGCCCGTTAGATAAGAAGAAAGACAGAGAGACACTAACGCACTCCAGGCTGACTGCCTCAACCAGAAATACTTTAGGGTGAGGTAATGCTTTCAACATAAACAGCTCAAGCCAGTTAAGAGCCCTTACCTCTACCCTCCAGTTCTTTCTTCTTTTTTTTTTCAATGGAGTGAAGAAGAAATGGAGAGAAGAAGAAACAACAAAACTTCGAAACAATTCAAAACTGTGCTCCCTTTAAGCTTTACACAGGCTGGGGCTGGCCACCGAGTGGGAATTTACATCAAAAAAGAAAAGGTAGCTCTGCAGAATGAAGGTGAAAAAAAACAAGCATCCGCCTCTCAGTCTTTTCATGGAGCTGCCTAAAAGATTTTCTTCTGAAAAAAATTGTTCTGGAAAAAAAAAAGGGAATCTTTGTAGAGTAGTGCCGATGTCTTTTGCCAGTTGCTCAGTTCGTTTTTTAAAACCTTGGAAAGAAAAAAAACATTCACATGTCTCCTGCTCGCAAAGTCTTTCCCGTTGAAGCCCAGGCTAGTGCTGATCTGCCTGTCTCCAGCTGTGGCCTCTGTCCTCTCTGTGCTCCACCAGCAGTGGGAGCACCAGGAGCTGCTGCAGGCGACTGAAACAGTGAAGCCCTTTCACTTGCTGCTTTAAGTAAAAGGCTGCCTGGAAAGACAAATGTTTGGTGCAATCAATAGCTTTGACCCCTGAGTTCTAACAGATGACAATACCTTCAGCTCTGCCCTGGTAAAAACAGATCCTGAACAAGTGGTGAGGAGGAGGAGGTGTGGGGGTGGGGTGTTGTGGGAGGGCAGGAAAAGTGACTGGACTATCAGTGGTGGGAAAAACCTCTAGGAAAAAAAAAAGACCATTTTAGTCCTAAAACTGTCACAGCATTTGACCTCTCATTGCCACCTGGTTCAACTAAGGCCTTAAATTGTGTGTTTCAAGGTGGAAAACGTGCTGGATGTTCTAAAAATACTCTCCCCGCACCACATCCATTCATCATCATGATTTCAGCAGCTACAGTATGCACAAGATCTAGTAAATGTATATAATGCCAAGGAAATAATATATTCTAATATTGGAAATGGAAAAGGATGTAAAGTTCCCTAGAATCCTGTTTCCATCCAGGTTAGTTCTAATTATCATTTCCATGTACTGTAACTCTGCATGTACCTAAATTAAGACTTATTGGTCTAGAATTTCTTGGTTCAGTTTATTTTCTTTGGCTGGGCACTACATTAGACATGTTGCACTCAGTAGGCATTACCCCTGTCCTGAGTGACTGTACAGAGCTTTGCTAACAGCCTATAAATGGCATCTCTTGTTTTGTGAACGACAATTAAGCAGGTCAGAAGTCTCAGGAAGTCTCATGCATTTTTTACACAATGTAAAATCAATTCCTGCACAAAAAGCTGCAGAAAAACTCACAACTGCCAAACAAAATCCATATAACATTAGAAACATTACATAAGAAAAGATATAAATGAGAGGAGACCATTCGGCCCATTTGGCTATTCTTATGTAATGTGGCTTATCTGCTTTGGATTGCTTGCCCAATTTGACTTAATCCTATAAGATTTTTTTATACAGTAAAATATGGCCTATTATATCCAATTTTATCATTTAGTGTGGCTTATTCTATTGGATTTCTTATCCACTGTGGTTTATCCTATTGGATATCTTATCCAGTGTTTCTTGTCCTGTCGGATAAAATAAGTTTCATTCTTACAAAGAAAAAAATATAAGGTTAATTACCATATTGGAACAATTTGAGCAATCTCTCAGGTAGGCCTTTTTACTGTTGACCTTTTATAGATTTGTTGTTCATCAAGGAAAGTGTTGTTTGGATCACATTTTAACAACAACATGACCTCGGGACCGCAGCTGTGTGACACCCTGGGGTTTGAGGCCCAACAAACGCAACAGTTTCTAAAATGAACATGGAAAGGCTGCTGACAGCTTTGCGTTTTTTCTCTTTCCAAATCAAAAACGTTTTCCTAGCACGACTTTCGTGAAAAGTGACACCAGGGCTTTGAACTTAAAAACAATTGAAGTACAAAAAGGGTTATATGCAAAAGAAAAAAAGAAACAGAAAGGTACAAGGTATAGATACAAAATCAGCAACAACAAACTATTTTTAACATTTGTAACAGTGTGTTACCTGCGAACCCTAGGCATGCTCGTGTGCAGAGCCCACGCTGTGCCACATGTGTGTGTCATGGTTCCAGACACATGCTTCCAACATACTGGGCAGACAGGAGGACAGCCCGGGCAGGGAAAGTGCGCTTTGTGCAATGGATGTTGTTCTGGTCTGAGCAATTTTCTTACAGTGCAGGAGAACGCAGGGCTGCGTCAGCAGGCGCCCTGGTTGAATTGGACTGGGTTGGGGAGGCATGGTGGGGGAACAAAGATGAAACGTGCTACACCCTGAAGTGAAAGAGGAGTGAGTTGAGGGTGAGTGGAGGGGGGGGGGGGGGGGGTGTTTTAAGGCTGAGCAGAAGATGATGATGTCATCAAAAGGGGTGTGTTTAGTCCCTAGGAGGTGTGGTCTAAGATTGCCTGGGTAGTTGCCACTTCTTCACGGTTGAAAGAAGAACCTGACAAATATCAGTGAAGCCTGCTGAGTGTAATTATTCAAACAAAATTATACATTAAAGTCCAGGGAGTCTGTCCTATCTGTACTTGTTCATGTTAGGCCTTGTTGGGAAAACACTTCATTGTACTGTAAAGCACTGTCACACTTGAAGTCAACACATGTCAGTTACCACAGGTCCAGATGCATCAGTCTCATGAATTCCCATTTAATGTGAAACAACAGGAAGGTCTAACTGGAGAATCTTTTGACCTTTTGGTTGTTAAACTAAAGTGGTGTTCATCCAAACACCATTAAAGGTGTGAGTATGTTAAACTAAAAATACTCCCAGAGCTTTACAATTTAAAAGCTTTTATCACTGTGACAACAAACCACTTTTACAGGGCAAACCAGGCTCTTAGTTAAAAATTAAAGGAGGAGGTTGAGGTCAAATCCATGCTAAAAAGTGGAAAGAAAAAGCACAATGTTGTGGCTTTTGAGCCTTCTTCAGATGTAATATACTGTATTTCTTAATATCCTAAGAATGTGCTCCGTAGCATATTTTACATCCACATTTAAGTTATTAAAAGAGAAACAACTAAACTGAATATAAAGTCTTCATAGATGATTTGTTTATAGTTTATGCTGAACTGATAACATTATATTTCAATAGATTATGTAAAATATCTCAAGAATTTTTTGCGGGGGCTCTGTCTCATCTATCCTACTGTTATTCACACATTGCTTTGCTTGATTGGAACCAGGTGTGTCTGATCCAGTGCTGAACAGCTCTCTGGTTCTGGAGATTGTAACGCCTTCCGCATGTTGCTTGTCAGAAAGTGTTGTTCACGTTTTCGGGTTTGATCCATTGTGAAACCCCATCTGTCGGTGATCGTTTTCACTGGTAGCAGTTTTCAGGAGAGGACTCTTTTGCACCTTGGCTGCCATTTCTTCCTCATAAACTGTACTCTTTTTATGTAATAGAATTATCTCCTTTCCCTTTTCCATTTTCTTTTGGATTTTCTGGGAGCTTTTACCACGGATCCATGATCAGACAGCCTATGTGTTGGACATAATGGTCAATGATCACAGTTTAATGCTGCTTTTCGGAAAACTGCAGATGAATGTGTCGTTGTGTAGTATAGTACATGGTCAGTCTCCACATTCAAACTGCTGTTTATGAGGCACTTCTGGGTTCTTGAGTCGTGCTGCCCAGACAAGGGACAGAAAAATCCACTTTGAGAACATAAACACCCCCCTGCAGCAGGAGACTTCAATTCTCTTGAGAGTCCTGAGAGGTGACATCACTCAGACAGTTTCATCTTACACTGTGAGGCCTGCTATGTTGGGTAACGTGTACTATACCGTATGTTCAATCTCAGCTCCAGGGGAATCGCATGCCTTGCAAACGTGTAATAAAAAAGTCATTATGGTGGTCTGCTTCTCTCCTGGATTCCTCTATCCAGTTGGAAACAGGCATGATGGTGGAGGTGCAGACAAAAACCTCTCATAATAAACTGAGATTTCCAAGTCTGAGGGAGACTATCCTGCTGTACTTACCAAAATGCCAGGAAAGCAAACTGCCTCTGGCAGGGAAGATATCACGCCATCCCAAAATGGAAAAAAAACAATCTGCAAACTACAGGCCTGGCAGAAAGCAGCAATAGACTACACTTTATTAGCTTTGTAAAAACTGTAATCCTGTGGTCATGTGTGTAACATAAGAAGCATTCAGCATGCAATAAAATGCCCTTTTGAAGCAAACATAAAATCTTTTAAAAGCTGCTCCTTTGGAGAAGGGCATACCTTATCAATGGCAGTGGTGCATAAGAACATAAGAAAGATCGAGAACCACAGGAGGTGATTCGGCCCATCTTGACCATTTGGTCATTAGCAGCTTATTGATCCAAGGTTCTCATTGAACTGCTTCTTAGCCAGGGTATCAACTTCAACAACATGCTTGGTAACTGTAGTGTTACCACAGCCCTTCAGGTAAAGAAGTGCCATCTTCTTTAGAGTCTGTACCGCAACACAACACCCCCAATCACAGGAACACAAGAAAGGTAAAAAATAAGAGGGCACTACCTGTCACATCTAGCTGATTTGGTAGCTGGCTCACCAAGCTGTTTCTTGAAATAAGACAGTGTATTAGCTTCAACAACATGGCTTTTTCCAAACCACCACAGCCCTTGGTATAAAGTTTCCACTTGTCCTCTAGTTGGTGTTTCACTGTTCATTCTGAAGAAATCCATCAGGTGACTTTGTCACTGCCTTTCAGAATTTTGAAGTTTTGAATGAGGGCCCCTTGGACTTCTTCTTTGCTTCCTGAATTAAGACACAAAAAATGTAATGGATTCTGAATTTGTCTGATGTAATCCATATGTCTCCTGTGGACAACTTGCCTGCAGATATCCTTTCAAAATCCGATATGATATGATTTAAGACTGTAATAAGACAGTTTTTCCTTGTCTTTAACATGACTATGTACCATAAACTGTGTTTATAAACTGTCAACCAAACCATAACATTGTACGAAAAAATAACAAAAGCCTTTCAAAGCAATCAGCACTAAGCAGTATCACTTAAACAACACATCTGTTTTGGGGTTTGTTTGTCAGTATTGCCACAATGCTTTCAGGGGTGATTTTGTGATTGGAGGTATGGCGCAAAATCATCCCTGAAGCCAAGTTGAGGCAAACGTGGAGTAAGCATTGTGTGCTTGGTCCCTTGTGCACTTAAAGGAGTTTGTAACGAAAGTTTGGGAGGGATGATAACAGCCAAGTCCAATCAGACTCGGCTGTCAGTAATTAGCAATCACTCCTGACGTCATTTCCTTGTATCATTTCCTAAAACACTATAAATACTGTACATGATCCCCTTCTCTCCCTCACATACGGTACCTCCAGCCCATCTCCACCTCTGCAGCTGCCCCCGGGTCACCCCTCACTCTGCTCGGGGGTCCAACCTCCTTGTCCCCTGGCCAGGAGGTCAGCCATCAGAAGAGGAAGCCAAATTTTCACAAATATTCTATAATGCTTTCAATACATCTCATCT